GGAAGTCCTGGAAGGGACCTTGGAAATCCTGGAAGGAACTTTAGAGGACCCAAAGGGGATTTTGGAAGTTCTGGAAGGAACTTTGGAGGTCCCAGAGGGAACCTTGGAGGTCCCAGGGGGAACTTCAGAGGATCCAAAGGGGATTTTGGAAGTCCTGGAAGGGCCGTTGGAGGTCCCAGGTGAGGTGTCCAACCCCGATCCTTTTGACTCCCAGTTTCTCCCTCTGTTCCCGCCGGACAGGGCTGTTATGGCTGGGTCATCCCGCTGTTTTGGTGGAATTCTGTTGGAAAACCCCGTGCCCTGGTGTCACCAGGGCAGTGTTTGGGAACACGGAGATTACGGGAGTTACAGTCCAAGGACACCCGGCTGGAAAACTCGCTCTGGGGTTTCTGCTCTGCCCTGGATCATGGCTGGGACTGGCACCAGTTTGAGCAGGGAGCTGACACCAGTTTAACCCAGGAGCTGACACCAGTTTAACCCAGGAGCTGACACCAGTTTAACCAGGGAGCTGACACCAGTTTAACCAGGGAGGTGGCACCAGTTTGAGCAGGGAGCTGAGACCAGTTTAACCAGGGAGCTGACACCAGTTTAACCAGTGAAGTGACACCAGTTTAACCCTCGAGCTGGAGCTCACGTGCAGCACTGGGATTATTTTACTGGGAATGTTTTGCTGGGATTATTTTACTGGGAATGTTTTGCTGGGATTGTTTTGCTGGGATTGTTTCAGGATGGGGACTCGGAGCAGTCCTGGAGTAGCTTTACTGTTCCATAGAATCAGAGGTGCCTCCAGAGTTTTTGGGGAATTTGGGAAGTCTGTGTTGTCTCCTGACCGATCGTCTCAGGGCAGTTTGGGGTCTCAAGTAGGAGTTTTCCTCCCTTGGGTCTGGCATCTCAGCTCCTTCACCAAAGGAATTCCTTCCCAATATCCCACCTAACCCTGCTCTCTGTCAGTCTGAAGCCATTCCCTGTGTCCTGTCCCCCCATCCCTTGTCCCCAGTCCCTCTCCAGCTCTCCTGGAGCCCCTTTAGGCCCTGGAAGGGGCTCTCAGCTCTCCCTGGAGCCTTCCCTTCTCCAGGTGAACCCCCCCAGCTCTCCCAGCCTGGCTCCATCACTGATATTCCTTAGCCATAAAATGTTAGGAAAAGGAATAAGAGCTGCTGGTCTGTTCCCAGAGCTGTGAGCTGGAGAAGGGAAGGTTTAGGTGGGATATTGAGGAGGAATTCTTCCCGATGAGGGGCTGGGCTGGAATTCCCGGAGAAGCCGTGGCTGCCCCTGGATCCCTGGGAGTGTCCAAGGCCAGGCTGGAGCAATTGGGGCTAGTGGGAGGTGTCCCTGCCCGTGGCAGGGGGTGGCACTGGATGATTTTAATCTCCCTTCCACCCCAGACTATTCCATGATCCCATAACACGAGTTTGGCTTCGTTGGAATTCTGCCCAGTGCCGGTTTTCCTTTGGGCTCTCCGGGCACATCCCTCCCCATCCCGTGCCAGCCCAGGCCCGTGGTGCCAGCAGGACCCCGAGTGTCCCTGTGCCAGCCCCTGCTGTCTCATGCTTTGCTCCTTATCTGGCCCCCCCAGAGCTCCAGCCCAGCATAATCGTCCTGTCAATGGTATTTTTTTTTATCTTGGTCGAAGGAGAAGGTGCTGCCCGAGGCCTTGTCTGCCTTTCCAGCCTGGAATAAGCCTGGTTGTCACTGCCAGTGTTCAAATGTCCCGAAAATTCCACAGTTTTGCACCTGGAATGCGGGATCTGGGCAGCTCAGCTGCTCAGCTCGATACTAAGAGTTGAGTTAAGGCACAAAAGGGAGTCAGGCATTCCCAAAAATTGCGTGTGAAAGGTTTTCCATCGGAGAAATTTATTCCTTGGATTATGGTTCTCAGGAATCTGGGGAGGGTTTGTTTGTTGTTTTGGGTTTTGTTTTTTTTTTGTGGATGTTTGAGCACATTAAAATAAGAAAATAAAATTACCATTTACAGGCAGGAAATACTGGATGAGGACTCCCAAGTTTGGGATTCAGCTTTCCCTCGGAGTCGCCCTCCTAGGCTTTGGTGCTTCTCCTCGTGTCCTTAAATGCCCCCCATCCCCTCAGAGCTCCATGTCCAGGGATCCTGTGAGGAGGAGGATCAAGGATTCCCTGGGACAGCTGACGCTGCACAGTCAGAGGCATTGAAAATATGTTTAAATCCTGGCTGGATTCAGCTTCCTGGCTTTTCCACAGGAGGGATTTTTTCAGGAATTCTGCGCTTTGGTGCCCACGGTGCCATTCCTGTGTCCCTGGTGCCGGGTCTCCAGCTGGCACACGGGCTGTTCTCTTGGATTTTGGGAGCTGTTTCCTTGTGCCCTGTTCCCTGTGGCTCCGAGGGAGTTAACTGGGAGCTGCAGGAAGGCTGGCACGGATCAGGCACTGGCACAAACAAGGGGGTTTTGTCACAGCCACTGTCACACAAAAGCAGCCACCGAGGCCTGGGAGTCGCAGGGAATTGGCACTGGGAGGTGGGAACAAAACTCCAGGGAAAGCCCTTCCCTGGCTCCCCCAGGAATTAGTGCACAGGGGTGGAAAATTGTTAAAAACTCGGGACCTTTTTTTTTTTAACCAGAGTTTTAGTGTGTTATGGGCTGTGGTTCCTTGTTGTCCTGCCAGGCTGGTGGAGCTGCTTCCCAAGGATTTGTGTCCAGGGGAGGGAATGGAGTGGGGAAAGGCTGGAGCAGCTGAGGGAGCTGGGGGGGCTCAGCCTGGAGCAAAGGAGGCTCAGGGGGGACCTTCTGGCTCTGCAACCCCCTGACAGGAGAGGGGAGCTGCCAGGGAACAAGGGACAGGAGGAGAGGGAACGGCCTCCAGCTGTGCCAGGGGAGGCTCAGGTTGGATATTGGGGAAATTCCTTCCTGGAAAGGGTTGGTTAAACACTGGAACTGCCCAGGGAGGTTTGGAGTGCCCAGCCCTGGAGGTGCCCAGGGAAGGCCTGGCCGTGGCACTCAGTGGACAAGGTGGGGATGGGGCACAGGGTGGGCTTGATGCTCTGGGAGGGCTTTTCCAGCCTCAGTGATTCCATGATTCCACACCCATGGACAGAAGGTGTTGCTTCTCGAGCTGATAAATGGCTGGCAGGGTTTTCAGGGTTTGGAGGAAACCCCGTTTTGTCCTTGGGCTGAATCACGGCCCCGTGGAATGGTTTGGGTTGGAAGGGACCTTAAATCCCCTCCCATTCCAACAGGGACACCTCCCACCAGCCCAGGTTGCTCCCAGGGAAGATGATCCACACAAACACCTTCCTGCAGGGGAGGCTTTGCCAAGTGATTCTTAAATAAGTGGCAGTGGCTCTGTGATGGGAGCAGCGGGAGCTGGGAAAAGCTGAACTGGAGTCCGGGTGCTTCCAGTGGTTTATGGCCCGTGGTTTATGTTCATGGGAGATTTTGGGGGATTGTCTGTGTGGGGTTTGAGTCTCTGGGGTTTGCTTTGCTCAGAAACCCTGTCCAGGTGCTCTCTGGCACTTGGCAAAGTTTTCTCTCGTTCCTCTAAAGTGGTGGAGCAATATTTTCCATGAGATTCTTTAAAAAAAAAAAAGAGAATAAGAAAGAATCAGAGCTCTGGAATATGGTACAAAGTAAGAGCATTGTTGCAGAGGGTCCCTCTCTGTGTTCCTTTTCCTCTGGGGATGATTCTGGCAGCAGCAATCCCCCCCTTGGTGTGGTTTTGGCCTGGAATTGCTGGAATTGCTGTGTCGGGAAAGCGCTCGGCTGTGCCCTGATGGGAACACGGATCCACCGGCTGATCCCAGCCGGGACTTGGGTTTGCATAACAGCCTCTCCTCCAAAAATAAAGGAGACAGTGGCTGTTATCCTTGTTTTTATAACAGCACAAAAGGACGCTGTGCTGATCCCTCTTCACCCCTGGGACCCTCTGGCACGTGCAGGTGACAACACCCGGTTCCAGATCCAGAGGCACAAACCCTGGGAATGTTTTTCCCTCTGTCTGCAAAGGCACTTTTTTTTTGTTTTTAAATTAGGACACCTCAGATTTCACTGGGGGAAGCCCATCTGCCCGGATCAGAGCTCAGGATGGATCTTTTCCAGCTGTCTGAGCACACAGAATCTGCAGGGGGGTTTTATTTCCCTTCCCATGGTTTGGGAACTTCCGTGATTCCATGAAGTCCAGGCAAAGGGAACGGGAACGAAGTTTGTGAGGGATTTGACACTGTCTGACATGAGATGCACGTGAGGGTTGTTTTTTTTTTTGCTATTACAATGTGCAGGTGAGGATTATCACCTAAGGAGACCCCTCCTGGATCGCTGTGTCCGGTTCTGGTGCTTCCAGCATCAAAAGGATGTGGATCTGTTGGAGTGAATCCACAGGAGGCCACAAACTTGTCAGGGGACTGGAGCACCTCTGCTCTGGAGCCAGGCTGGGGGTGTTCACCTGGAGAAGAGAAGGATCCAGGGACACCTTACAGCCCCTTCCAGGGACTCCAGGAGAGCTGGAGAGGGACTGGGGACAAGGGATGGAGGGACAGGAGACAGGGAATGGATTCAAACTGCCAGAGGGCAGGGATAGGTGGGATACTGGGGAGAAATTCCCCCCTGTGAAGGTGGGGAGGCCCTGGCACAGGTTGCCCAGAGAAGCTGTGGCTGCCCCTGAATCCCTGGAAGTGTCCAAGGCCAGGTTGGAGCAACCTGGGCCAGTGGGAGATGTCCCTGCCCATGGCAGGGGGTGGAACAGGATGGGCTTTAAGCTCCCTTCCAACCCAGTCCAGTTGTGATTCCATGGAAAAGGTGAAAATGGGGAGGCCAGGTGGTACCTTGTCAGGTGTGAGAGGTGGCTGGGAAATTCCTGTGCAGGGAATTCCAGGAGTTCAGCGGAAGAACCAAACTCGGCGCTGGGCGTCTTCGTCCCTTTGCCGTCAGCAGAGTCAAACACGTCGGTGTGTGAACACACCCCCCTGAGGTGCTGCACAACTCACCTGCCCCCCTTCCTGTTCCTAACTGGAGTGTGTCCATGTTTTCCAGAGCCTGGCCCAGCTAGAGAACCTGTGCAAGCAGCTGTATGAGACCACGGACACGGCGACGCGGCTGCAGGCGGAGAAAGCCCTGGTGGAGTTCACCAACAGCCCCGACTGCCTGAGCAAGTGCCAGCTGCTCCTCGAGAGAGGGAGTGTACGTGAAACCCCCCCAGAACCCACCCCAAATCCACCCTGCAGGGGGGCACTGAGGAGGGAAACACCCCCGAGGGCTGGAGCGGGGTGTTCATATTCCGTATTCCACACCCGCGCTCCCGGATCTCGATTTGGGAGCCGCCGGTGCCCAAAAAATGCTGATTTTGCTGCTGCTGTGGGGTCACTTTAATGCCTCAGGGGCCCTGCTGGCTTCTCACAGGCTCCCACCCGGAGCTGCCGGGCTTTAAGTTGGAATCCCAGCCCCGTGGGAGCAAAGCTTCTCCATAGGGAAAACGGGGTGTGCAGGGAAATTCCGAGGGGGTAAAGCCGGCGGTGCTCCTTCTGGAATGTTGCCTTGGAAATCTGCCCCTGCCGTAGTGTTGGCTTAATAATCCAGCAGGTTAAAACAGAGGAAAGAAAAAAAAAAAGCTGGATCATGTGCTGTGGAATTAGTGGGGCAGAAAGGGTGGGAATGGTGCCGGCAGTAAATCCCGCCCGGCTCCCGGAGCTTTCTCCCTGGGAAGTGGCCGCTTGGTTTTCACTTGGAATCAGCAGAAATCCCGTTCCAAAGGGCTGTGCCCCGTGAGCCTTTGGCAGGATGTGCATCCAGCTCTCCTGCTGTCAGACTGGAGCCTTGTCCATAAAGTAGGAAACACTAAACTGTCGGGAAGAGTCGAGTTCTGCGGGAGGAGGGAAAGGAGACGGACGTTAAAGGCTCCACAAACTTCCCCAAAACTTCACTTCTCCTTACATTTGAAGCCCAGTGGAATCCAAACAAGCTTTTGATTGGAAGCTTTTCCAGTGGGAACGAGGAGCTGGTTTACCTCAGGGCAAATAGTGATATGTATTTGTAAGGAAAGGTCCTGAAGCCCAGTTTAATCCAGAGTGGGATCAATTCTCCCTCCAAATGTGGGGGTTTTGTTCATTCCGGGATCTGACTCCCGTTGTACCCACAGGCCTTGGGAATATTGGAATAAAGAGCTTTCCTGCATTGATCCCAAGCTTTGTCCAGTCCTACATATTACAGGCAAAATGCCTGTCATTCCCTGGCTGTAATTTAGGGAGTGGGATCAGCCAGGGGGGTTTGGGGGCCTGAATTCCATCAGTGAGATCAGAGCTGGGTGGTCCTTAAGAAATACATTTTAACCTGGATTTACCAACCCAGGGCAAGCTCTAATTGCTTCTTGATGTATCTTAACACACTTCTGGGATAATTCCAGGTGTGGAATTTTAGGAAACTTCACAGATTTTGACTGTTTTTGCTTTCAGTGGCACTTCCATTGTCTTTTGCTCATTAAGCTTTTCCTTCTTCAAATCCGAATTTGTTTTACTTTAGTGTCATAGAATAAATACATCTAAATAATGCTGCTGATGATAATAATAATAATAATAATAATAATAATAATAATAATAATGATAATTCTATGTAGAATATTTAGACCTGCCAGTTAAATGAATGCTTTAAACTCAGATATTCGCAGAGGAATTAGCTTAAAATCCATTTAAAATCCGTTGCTGCTCGCTCTGAACTGTGCAATAAAATTCTCTCTTGTGTTTTGGGTTTGTTTTTCCCTCTTCCCAGTCCTCCTACTCCCAGTTACTGGCAGCCACCTGCCTTACCAAACTGGTGTCACGCACAAACAACCCCCTGCCGCTGGAGCAGCGAATAGATATCCGTAAGTATGGAATTTTTCTCCCCAAATTCCTGGGAATATTCGCCATCTGGCCTTTGATCCGTGGCTGGGAGGTTTCCTGCAACCTCCACTTTGGGCATCCTGAGGTTTGGGATGCTCAGAAAGGCGAGGAAACATAGGAAATGAGAGAGTTCAAGGCTAAATATCCGGAATTTTTCCGGATGAAAAATGGGCTTTAAGCCCCCTTCCAACCCAATCCAGTCTGTGATTCCATGGAAAAGGTGAAAATGGGGAGGCCAGGTGCTACTTTGTCAGGTGTGAGAGGTTGTCACACACTTTGTCAGGCGTGAGGGTTGATGGTTGGACTGGATGATCCCAGAGGGCTTTTCCAACCCTGATTTTTAGATTTTTCCGTGATTTTTGGTACAAGCAACTGATGGTACCAAAACTCAGGCCCGAGGGGTGGGAATCCCTCATTTCCAGCCCCTTCCCAGGTGTTAAACTCACAAGTCAGGGGTCAGCCTTTACCTCTGACCCACTGATTCCTTCAAACCCCTTCCCACCTCATTTCCATGTGCCATGTTTGGGTTGTGAAGGGGTGGTGGAATCCCCATCCCTGGAATTATCTGGATGTGGCTCTTGGAGGGACATGGTTTGTGGTTGATGGTTGGACATGGTTTGTGTTGGCCTGGATTGATGGTTGGACTGGATGATCCCAGAGGGCTTTCCCAACCTTAATTTTTAGATTTTTAATTAATTCCATGATTTTTGGTACCAACAAGTGATGGTACCAACAACTCAGGCCCGAGGGGTGGGAATCCCTCATTTCCAACCCCTTCCCAGGCATTAAAGCCCCAAACAAAGGGTCAACCTTTCCCTCCAACCCACTCCTCCCTTAAAACCCCTTCCCACCTCATTTCCATGTGCCATATGTGGTGGTGGAATCCTAACCCTGGAATTGTCTGGATGTGGCACTTGGAGGGACATGGTTTGTGGTTGATGGTTGGACTGGATGATCCCAGAGGGCTTTCCCAACCTTAATTTTTAGATTTTTAATTAATTCCATGATTTTTGGTACCAACAGCTCAAACTTGAGGAGTGAGAATCCCTCATTTCCAACCCCTTCCCAGGCATTAAAGCCCCAAACAAAGGGTCAACCTTTCCCTCCAACCCGCTCCTCCCTTAAAACCCCTTCCCACCTCATTTCCATGTGCCATGTTTGGGTTGTGAGGGGGTGGTGGAATCTCCATCCTTGGAAGTGTTCAGAAAACACCTGGAAAACGGTTTGTGGTTGGTGGCTGGACATGGTTTGTGGTTGGACTGGATGATCCCAGAGGGCTTTCCCAACCTTAATTTTTAGATTTTTAATTAATTCCATGATTTTTGGTACCAACAGCTCAAACTTGAGGAGTGAGAATCCCTCATTTCCACCCCCTTCCCAGGCATTAAAGCCCCAAACAAAGGCTCAACCTTTACCTTTACTCCCTTCAAACCCCTTCCAGTTCCCTTCCACACGCCCACATCCCGTGTCCCGCCGTGTTTTCCAGGGAATTATGTGCTCAACTACCTGGCGACGCGGCTGAAGCTGGCGACGTTCGTGACGCAGGCGCTGATCCAGCTCTACGCCCGCATCACCAAGCTGGGCTGGTTCGACTGCCAGAAGGACGAGTACGTCTTCAGGAACGTCATCTCCGACGTCTCCCGCTTCCTCCAGGTCGGGCCTTTGGCCTCGCCGCTCCCGGGGATCGGCCCAAATTCCGACGGCTTCCCGGAATTCCCGGAATTCCGCTCTCCCGGGGCCGGCATTTGGCGGGTTGGAATTCGGGGGGGTTTCCCGGGCCGAGGAGCTGCCAGGACACATCAGTGCTTAGGATTTGAAATTTGGGGGAGCTGGGGTTTGTTTCTAGTTATTCTGTTTTGAAATGTGGGGATTTATAGTTCTTACGATTCGAAATTCAGGGATTTCTAGTTCTTATAATTTGAGGAGCTGGGACTTATTTCTGGTTCTTACAATATGAAATTTTGGGATTTGTATTTCTTAGAACTCAACATTTGAGGGAGCAGGGATTTATTTCTAGTTCTGACAATTTGAAATTTGGGGATTTCTAGTTCCTATCATTTCAAATTTGGAGAAGTGATTAATTTCTAGTTCTTCCAATGTAAAATTTGGGGGAGCAGGGATTTATTTCTAGTTATTCTATTTAAAAATTTGGGGGTTCTGGTTCTTATAATTTGAAATTTGGGGGAGCAGGAACTTATTTCTAGTTATTCTATTGTAAAATTTAGGATTTTCTAGTTCTTATAATTTGAAATTTGGGGGAGCAGGAATTTATTTCTAGTTATTGTATTTTAAAATTTGGAGGTTTCTGGTTCTTATAATTTGAAATTTGGGGAGCTGGGATTTATTTCTAGTTATTGTATTTTAAAATTTGGGGGGGTTCTCATTCTTATAATTTGAAATTTGGGAGAGCAGGAACTTATTTCTAGTTATTGTATTTTAAAATTTTGGGGGTTCTAGTTCTTATAATTTTAAATTTGGGGGAGCAGGAACTTATTTCTAGTTATTTTATTTTAAATTTAGGGGATTTCTGGTTCTCATAATTTGAAATTTGGGGAGCAAGGATTTATTTCTAGTTATTCTATTTTAAAATTTGGGGGGTTCTCATTGTTATAATTTGAAATTTTGCAGGAGCAGGGATTTATTTCTAGTTCTGACAATTTGAAATTTGGGGATTTCTAGTTCCTATCGTTTCAAATTTGGAGGAGAAGTGATTAATTTCTAGTTCTTCCAATGTAAAATTTGGGGGAGTGGGGATTTATTTCTAGTTATTCTATTGTAAAATTTAGGGATTTCTAGTTCTTATAATTTGAAATTTGGGGGAGCAGGGATTTATTTCTAGTTCTTATAATTTAAAATGTGGGGATTTGAAATTGAAATTAAATTCGAAGTTAAATTCGAAACTAAATTTGAAATTTGAAATTGAATTCCAATTAAATTTGAAATTAAATTGGAAATTAAATTTGAAATTCAATTGGAAATTAAATTTGAAATTCAATTGGAAATTAAATTCGAATTAAATTTGAAATTAAGTTTGACTTAAATTTGAAATTAAATTTAACTTGAATTGGAAATTAAATTAGAATTAAATTGGAAATTAAATTCAAATAAAATTTGAAATTAAATTCGACTTAAATTTCAAATTAAAGTTGAAATTAAATTCGAATGAAAATTGAAATTAAATTTGAATTAAATTTGAAATTAAATTCGAATTAAATTGGAAATTAAATTGGAATTTAAATTGGAATTAAATTGGAATTTAAATTGGAATTAAATTGGAAATTAAATTCGACTTAAATTTCAAATTAAATTCAACTTAAATTTCAAATTAAATTCAGCTTAAATTCGAAATTAAATTTGAAATTAAACTTAAAATTAAATTCGAATTAAATTGGAAATTAAATTCAAAATTAAATTTGAAGTTTGGGTGGGGTTTTTTCCCGATAAAACTGAAGATAAATCATTTTTAGCCAAGCAGTTTTCCAAGCACTAAGCCCAGCTCAACCAAACCCTGAGCTGAGCCTGTTGCTGTGCTTTGCCCCCCAGGACAGTGTCGAGCACTGCATCATAGGAGTGACAATCCTGTCCCAGCTAACGAATGAGATTAATCAAGTAAGTGCTACAGCCTTCCTCAGTGAAGTAAGTGTCCAATTTTCTCATTCATATTGTCCTGTCCTGCCTTTTTCGGGGGTTGATTTGGGGTTTTTTTGCCCTGGGGGGGTTGTTTTGGGGGGTTCCCTCCTGTCTCTGTGGTGTTTTCAGTCGCTCCCCCCTCGGGGGAAGATGCTCCGAGCTCTCCCATCCCGAGGAATCCTTTTGTTTCACTGGCATCTTCCATCTGCTCCCATGTTTTCACTCTGGGGGTTTTTTGGGATGGAGGGGAACAGAGCGAGGCTGAGGGATAAAACCAGACCTACCCAGTGAGGACTAAGCCCTTGTGTTGTCAGTCCCTCCTTGCTGAGCAGAGGAGTCACCAAACTGTGCCAGTTTTTAAACCATCAAACTGTGCCAGTTTTCCAACCATCCTTTTCCATCCAGGACCGAATTTCCCAGAGTTCCCAGCAGGGAATTCTCAGCTCCCGCTGGTTTCCTGGGGCCCAGTCCCTTCCAGGTGCTTCCCAGGTTGGCTCCTTGGTTTTGGGAGCCCTCCAAAGTCGTGCTGACGCTTGGAATTGGGTGCTGGAAGCAGGAATGAGTGGCTTCCTGTCCCAAGGAATCCTTTTGTTTCACTGGCATCCTCCATCTGCTCCCACATTTTCGCTGTGGGGTTTTTTTGGGATGGAGGGGAACAGAGCGAGGCTGAGGGATAAAACCAGACCTACCCAGTGAGGACTAAGCCCTTGTGTTGTCAGTCCCTCCTTGTTGAGCAGAGGAGTCACCAAACTGTGCCAGTTTTTAAACCATCAAACTGTGCCAGTTTTCCAACCATCCCTTTCCATCCAGGACCGAATTTCCCGGAGTTCCCAGCAGGGAATTCTCAGCTCCTGCTGGTTTCCTGGGGCCCAGTCCCTTCCAGGTGCTGCCAAAGTTGACTCCTTGGTTTTGGGAGCCCTCCAAGGTTGTGCTGCCTCCTGGAATTGGGTGTTGGAAGCGGGAATGAGTGGCTTTACCTGCTGCTATCCCGGATTCCATCCTTTTTCCAGCAGCAAAATCAGCTCCCCCGAAGGTCCCGAGGCAGCAGGAGGGTCACAATGTCCATGAAATCTCTGATTTTCCAAAGAAAACCAGGAGCAACCAAGGGTTTGATTTTAATGCCTTACTGAGTAACTAACCTTTAATTTTCCTGGGATGTTAATCCAGGTGTTGGAGGAATCCCTGAGTGGGATTTGGAGGGTGATTAAATTGTTCTCCGAGCTGGGAATGGAGAAGGTTTTGTCCTTCCCCAGTTCCTTCTGTTGGACTCGCTGGAGTTCAGCCCCTCTGAACTTCCCCAGCCTTAAATTTAAACGCTTTAAATCCAATTTGAACGTTTTCTGCACCCATTTCAGAGCCCCCAGATCACTTTAATTCCTCAAGGAGCAAATCCTGACCCTCAGATCTCCTCCTAAATCTTGATCCAACCTTTTTCCTGTCGCCATTTCCTTGGCCCAGGCTTTGCAAAACCCAGATTTCATCTCCACAGAGGGGCTGGTCCTTCCCTTCCTTTCAGCAAGGCTGGAAACAAGTCTGGTTTTTAAATATATATCTGTATATAAATCCCTATAAATTAGGATGTGTCCGTCAGCAAGGCTGGAAAGAAGTTTGGGGTTTAAATATATATGTTATAATATTGTATAGTAGTGTATTATGATATATAAATATATATAAAATATAATATTATAGGTAATATTACAATATGTTATTATACAGTATAATAGTATCATGTATAATGTACAGTAATATAGTGTATTTTATATATAATATATTATTATACAGTATTATAGAATATATTATTATATAGTATTAAATGCTATATTATTATATAGTTTTATATAGTATATATTATATAGACTTGCCTGGAGGTGCTGAGGGACTGGAGCTCACTGATTTAAACCAAGGTCACTGATTTAAGACAAAGTTTAAATTTGATTTAAACTGTTTTAAGCCTGATTTAAGCTCAGTTCAGGGATTTAAACCAAATTCCCTGATTTAAGCCCAGTTCACTAATTTAAGATAAATTCCCTCATTTAAGCCCAGTTCCCTGGCACAGTTCACTAATTTGAGCCAAATCCTCTGATTTAAGCCCAATTCCCTGATTTAAGCCAAATTTCCTGATTTAAACCAAATTCACCGATTATGCCAAATTCCTGATTTAAATTAAATTCCCTGATTTAAGCCCAGTTCAATAACTTAAGCCAAATTCCCTGATTTAAACCAAGTTGGCTGCTTGTGCCAAATTCCCTGATTTAAACTAAATTCCCTGATTTAAGCCCAGTTCAGTGATTTAAACCAAATTTCCCTGATTGAAGCCCTGTGACCTCGTGGTGAAGGAAAAGAAAAATGCTCATTTTCACCAGACCAGAAATAAGTGAGATTTTTTTAAATACCCTGAAATTTTAGTAGTCTGAGCTGAGGAATAATTCAGTCTTAAAACACCTGACAAGTTTAGGTCCAGTTTTGCTCTTCCACCAGCTGTTGGGGTGTTCCAGGGCTTTTCCTGCTCACCCAAAATATAAGGAATGTTTGATGCTTCCATGGGGTTGTTGGGAAAGTCAGTGTGGAAAACTTGAGGTTGGTCCTGGTTCCTTCAGTACTGGGTGAGGTGTTTGGAAATTTAAATTTAAGAGAGGTTCAGGAAAAAAAAAAAAAAAAAAAAAAAAAAAAAAAAAAAAAAAAAAACACAAAAACAAAACCAACAAAAAAAAATACAAAAAAAATATTATTAAAGATATATTTTAAAAATGACAAAAAATGTTGTAAAAATTAGAATTATTTAAGAAAAATATAACAGAAAAGAGATTTATTGATGGGCTGCAGAAAGGCTCCATCCCACTGGGATATCCCAGGTGGGATTTGGCCATCCCATGTTTGGATAAATGGGAAAAATGGGAAGGATGCCTTCACTTTTCCCCCTTTTCCTGGGAGCCAGGCCAGGTGCTCACCTCTGCTCCGGGGAGAGGGGCAGGACTGGGGTTGATTCCACCCCCCAAAGTCCAGGCTGGTGAACTCTCCTGGGAGTTTTCTCCTGCTCCGTGCGGGTTCCGGAGGGGAATTTTGATGGCTGGGCCTTGTCCCCGGGTGTCCCCTGCACCTGCAGGGGGGATGGAACCCTTTGAAATTCCCAGTGTGTCCCCTGCACCTGCAGGGGGGATGGAACCCTTTGGAATTCCCAGTGTGTCCCAGCACCTGCAGGGGGGATGGAACCCTTTGGAATTCCCAGTGTGTCCCCTGCACCTGCAGGGGGGATGGAACCCTTTGGAATTCCCAGTGTGTCCCCTGCACCTGCAGGGAGGATGGAACCCTTTGGAATTCCCAGTGTGTCCCCAGCCCCTGCAGGGGGGATGGAACCCTTTGGAATTCCCAGTGTGTCCCCTGCACCTGCAGGGAGGATGGAACCCTTTGGAATTCCCAGTGTGTCCCCAGCACCTGCAGGGAGGATGGAACCCTTTGGAATTCCCAGTGTGTCCCCAGCCCCTGCAGGGGGGATGGAACCCTTTGGAATTCCCAGTGTGTCCCCAGCCCCTGCAGGGGGGATGGAACCCTTTGGAATTCCCAGTTCCAGCTCCTGGAATGCCCCGAGCGCTGCTGGAGACGCCGCTCCCCGTTTGGGAGAGATTGAAAGGAAATGAAGGAATTAAACCTGAAATTGGGAGTTAAACCCGGCCCAGCAGGGAGAGGGTTGGAAAAGGTGGAAAAGCCCCTTCCCAGCCAGGAATAGGAGTTCATCCATGGAATTCTCCCATCCTGGGGCATCCCCAGGGCTCCTGCTGGTTCTGCTGCTCCCATTCCAGGAGCTCTGAGCTGCTTTTCCCTCTGCCAGGCGGACACAACCCACCCTCTGACCAAGCACAGGAAAATTGCCTCTTCCTTCCGGGATTCCTCTTTATTTGATATTTTCAACCTGTCCTGCAGTTTACTGAAACAGGTAAGGAGGGGCTTGGAGTCTTTATTGGGGGCTGAGTGGAGGGGAAACACGTTTGGGGGCTGAAATTCCCTCCTGGAAGGAGCTTCCTTGTCCTAAACACTGGGTTCTGGACTTGTTTTTCCAGGAAAACCCGGGCTCATTGAAGGAAATTTTATGTCTAAATAAATCAATAAAAAACCAAGTAAAATTATTAATGAATATAATAAAAATATATAATATTTTATATGTTATAGAAAAATATTATGTATTCATAAATATATTATATATTATAATTATATTATAATATTATACATTATAATTATATTATGATATATGATAATATATAGTATTATAATATATTTGTAATATTATGAAATTATATATAAATATTTTAATGTATTATATAACATATAATGTTATATATTATATATATACATTATATATATTATTATATATATATAGGTATTTTAACACACGATAAATATTGGTATTTTAACACACGATAAATACTGACTGTCTGGTGTTCCCCAGGTTTTTTCTGCTAATTATTGAGTGAACTTGCTTTAAAAATCAACTTTAAAAAGTCGATTTGAAGCAGGAATCAGTTGATTTGAAGCCAGAATAAGTCGATTTGAAACCAGAATAAGTCGATTTGAAACCAGAATCAGTTGATTTGAAGCAGGAATAAGTTGATTTGAAACCAGAATCAGTTGATTTGAAGTCCAGAGTGACAATCCAAAGGGTGGATGGGCTGGCCAGGAGCACAGAGCGTGTTTAAACTGCAGTGGAATGACCCCAAAATTGCACATCCCTGGAGTTGTGAGTGTCACCTGAGGGTATCCATGTTTTCCCTGCCCGGAGCAGCTCCTGGTTTCCCTGGGAGCAGCAGGATTGGATTCCCACTTGGATTCCCTCCCGGGAGGTGTCCCCGTGTTTAACTCCCTTCTCTCCCGGCTGTCAAACCTGGCAGCTGCTCCCCGGGCGCTTCAGAGGAGCGGGGAGGGAAGTGCTGCCTGTTTCTCCATCCCCTGGAAAGCCTGGAATGTGCCCATGCCAACCCCTCCTGGAAGAACACGCCCGGTGCCTGTGCCACACCACCCTCGTGGTGCCACCTCCTGCTCCAACCTCAATCCTTGGCTGTCACCTGGATTTGTTATTTTCTTTTTTCCCTCCTTTTCCTGCCTTAATCCCGTGGTGTTTTCCAGGCTTCTGGGAAGAACCTGAACCTGAACGATGAAAGCCAGCACGGGCTGCTCATGCAGCTCCTCAAGCTCACCCACAACTGCCTGAACTTCGACTTCATCGGCACCTCCACGGACGAGTCCTCGGATGATCTTTGCACTGTGCAGATCCCAACCAGTTGGAGATCAGGTAATGGGGCTGCAGGACCTGCTCAGTCCTTCTCTTGAGCTCGATAAAAACCACGTGCGTGGAATTCCAGGGGTTAAATCCAGCTTTTCCTTAGGGGGAAAACCACACAATCCACTCAGGGTGGGTCATCTTGACTCCTCTGCCCTTCCACTCTTGCACCTCCCAGTTCAAAGAGCAGCAAACTGGTTGGGTTTTTCTTTTTTTTTAAATATATAAATAACATAATTTGGCACCTGTTCTCCACATCCTTGCTGTTCTCACCAGGCACTTGCACAGATTGTGTTCTTAAAATACTTCCCTGTCATTCTCCCTCAGTTCCAAGTGCCAGTGGGTTCCTTTATTTTCTAGGAAAAGGCTTTTTGCGTGAAACTACAAAATCCTTCAGCAGTTTTCTTGGGTTTGGGGGCGCTTTGTGTGACAGATGCACTTGGCTTTGGGGATAAAATAAGCACCAGGCCTGTGTGGAAAGCAGGAAATGGAGGTAAAATGCTCTTTTCTGTTGCAGCATTCTTGGATTCTTCGACCCTTCAGTTGTTTTTTGATCTTTATCATTCCATCCCTCCTTCGTTCTCTCCTCTGGTAAGTCCAGTGCTCGTTTCCCTTCCAGGAAGGGTTTGTGGGATCCATGTGGGGAATTCACTGGTGGTTTAGTTTGACTTCACCCCACCCTGATGGCTCGTGCTGAAGTGTCCAAGTGCTGCCATTGAAGGTTTTTTTAGGAGCATCTGCAGGGTTTGGATTTGCCCTCAGAGCAGTTTTTTTGCTGGAATTCCAATTTTGTCCTCCCATGGAGTCTGCCTGCTCAGCCCTGTTTTAGAGGGAATGCAGCTGATGTTATTTCCTCTGTGCTCCTGCTGGATCCTAAAAGCACGTTAGGAGTAGTAGGTAGGAAGTCTGGGAACACCCCGAGGGATGGAATTTCTCCTTCCCCACTTCAAAACTAGGCCATGTCCCACTTGGATGAAAGGGCCAATAGCACAGCTGAACTAAAAGTTAGATTATTTCTTGGGGAAAAAAAAAAAAAAAAAAGAAAAGATTGCCTGCCAGGCATTTCTCTGCCTGATAAACATTTCCCATAATTAAAGCTGCAAGGAAAACGAGCCCTTTGGCTACAGAGGGAAGGATTTTTTTTTTCCATGGAGACACCACTGCTCGTGGTGGTGGAGGGTTATTGGCCAATTCTGAATTTAGAGCCTCAAATATTCATGAGAGGTTTGAAGTGTGAGACTCTGGGTTTTTTTTGGTCGTTGTTAATGAGTAGAAATCCGGAGCAATTTAATTGTCCTGCCCCTGTGATCAGGGACTGCCAGAGCCAGCAGGGATGAGCAGGGAGGCCTTGCACTGCTCCAAGGGGTGGGGATTTGCCTCTGGATTGGGATTGCAGGTGCTGCTCACAACTCACTGCCCCTGCTCTTCACAGTCCTCTTCACCAGCCTCTTCCTGCTGCAGCTGCACCCTGGAATTTCCTCTGGATTTAAATTTCAGAGGTTTGGGTTGAGAACAGTTTAATTGTGTTTCTCTTGCCACTCTTTTATCCCCTGGAATACTTTCCCAAGTCTGTGTTACATTTCTCAGCTTTCCCAGCCAGTCCCAGTGTATTTTCAGTCTTCATCTGAAGGAATTCCAGCATTTTGGGAGCAGAGTTTGGAGCAAAGGAGGCTCAGGGGGGACCTTCTGGCTCTGCAAGCCCCTGACAGGAGGGGGGAGCCAGGGGGAGTCAGGCTCTGCTCTGAGCAAGGAGGAGAGGAAACAGCCTCAAATTGTGCCGGGGGAGGCTCAGGTTGGACATCAGGAGGAATTCCCTCATGGAAAGGGTTGGTTAAGCATTGGAACTGCCCAGGGAGATTTGGGGTCCCCAGCCCTGGAGGTGTCCAAGGCAGGACTGGACACTCAGTGCTCTGGGCTGGATGGGCTGGTGGAGATCAGTCACAGGTTGGACTCCATGACCTTGGAGGGCTTTTCCAACCTCAGTGATTCCCTGATTCTGTGATGCCGGGATGGAGCTGTTCCTTTGGGCGACTCCCTCCTCTGCCGTAATTCCTTCCTGCACAAAATCACAAACGTGGAGCTGTTGTGTCACACACAGAGGAGCATCACACCTGTCACGAGGAGGAAACCTGCTGCTCCTGTGATTGTCCTAATGCCTGTTTTCCTGTTTATCCCCCTGTGCCCCTGCAGGTTTTGTCCTGCTTGGTGCAGATCGCCTCCGTTCGCAGATCCCTCTTCAACAACGCCGAGCGGGCAAAGTTCTTATCTCATCTCGTTGATGGAGTCAAACGGATACTGGAAAACCCCCAGGTGGGTGTTCCAGGTGGAACTGGGGCTCTGCTTCCTCTTCATCGTCATCATCAAAAATACCTCCAATGTCCATGTCCCACTTGATCACGGACACAGGAGGAAGAAGAACTTGGCAAAGGGGAGAAGGGTGCAATGTCTTGCTGCTCTCTTCCTTTTCTCAACCAAGGAAGGTTCAGGTTGGATAGCAGGAAAAATTCCTTCACTGGAAGAGTACTTTGGCATTGGAACAGGCTGCCCAGGGCAGTGGTGGAGTCGCCATCCCTGGAAGTGTTCACAAAACAAGTGGATGTGGCACTTCCTGAGCCGCTTTATTGGGCAGGGGGGGATTCGGTCGAAGGTTGGGCTCGGTGACCGTGGAGGTCCCTTCCAACCCATGTGGTTCTGTGACAATCTGAGCCCCTTGCAGTCACTGCTGAGCCGTTCCTCAGTTCCTCTTCCCCTTTTTCTCCTCTCAGAGCTTGTCAGACCCCAACAACTACCACGAGTTCTGCCGATTGCTGGCGCGGTTGAAAAGCAATTACCAGCTGGGCGAGCTGGTGAAGGTGGACAACTACCCCGAGGTCATCCGGCTCATTGCCAACTTCACCGTCACCAGCCTGCAGGTACACCTGGCTCTCCTTCTCTTGTCTCCCCTTGAAACAAAAATCCCACCCCCCTGCTCTGTTCCCTGCCCCTTAATTTACGTTATTTTTGCCCCAAACCCCTCTCGGAGAATCCCGCGGTGTTGCCGTGATTATCCTGTGAATTCCTGCTGAATGGAGCTGGAGCAACCTGTGGGGGAAGGCAGAGTTACCATGCCTCCAGAGGCTTTCCAAATCCTAGCAGAGAAGAAAAAAAACCCAACCTGTTAAATAAGGCTTATTTTTAGAATTGTGTCTCACTTCACGTCGCAGGGATTGCCAGTAATAGGGATATCAAGCCATATTCCCACTGAGTTTTCCACTGGTGTATCGAGCTTGTAACCACCCCCCTGCACAGGGCAGGGTTCAGAACATTGTACAGCTCAGATAATGCCTTTGTTTGTTAAATTTTGATATCTGAAAGCAGCTTGAGGCTGCACGGGGGGGGGTGGGGAGCTGTGCAGCGCGAGCTCGGCCGTGGTTGGGGACTGGAGGCTCAGCTCCACATCCTGGGAACTCGGGATTATCTCCCTGAGTGCTGCTGATGCCACTGAATCCAGGTGTGCACTGGAATTCCTGGTTAATTTGGCAACCAGGCCCTTCAAGCTTTTAGATGCTGCTGTGTCCAGTGGAAGGTTCATTGCCCATGGCGAGTGGAAGGAGCTGAGCTCTGAGGTCCCTTCCAAACCGAACCACTCTGATGTTCTGTGATCTCTGTATCCCCCTGGCTCAGCAGACCTGTTACTCCTCAAATTCCTTGTTCCCACTGGCATTTCCAGCGTGGAAACTCTGCCAGTGCAAGGAGACCCCCCTGGCACCACCCGTGGCCCTCCCAGGTCGGAGGAGGAGGGGGGGGCAGGAATTCTGCGATCCTATGAAAATAATCCGGGTAAAATAATCCAGATCATAATTCCCTGTCTTTTTTTTTTCCTTCCCTTTCCCTCTGGAAGCACTGGGAGTTTGCTCCCAACAGTGTTCACTACCTGCTGAGCCTGTGGCAGCGCCTGGCAGCGTCCGTGCCCTACGTGAAGGCCACCGAGCCCCACATGCTGGAGACCTACACCCCCGAGGTCACCAAAGCCTACATCACATCCCGCCTGGAATCCGTGCACATCATCCTCAGGTGAGGCCAGAGCCAGGGCTGGAGCTGCTCTCCTGGCAGGAAAGGCTTCCCAAATGGAATTGGGGTTGCTCAGCTCCGGGGTGACCTCAACTGGAATTCCCGTGGGCCCGGGAAACGCCCTGTACCCCCCACAGACCCCCTGCTGTGGTTGGGTAGACCATCTCCACCCCATAAATCCCTTCCTGACCCGCTCTCTCTCCGCTCAGGGACGGGCTGGAGGATCCCCTGGACGACACGGGGCTGGTGCAGCAGCAGCTGGACCAGCTCTCCACCATCGGGCGCTGCGAGTACGAGAAGACGTGTGCTCTGCTCGTGCAGCTCTTCGACCAGTCAGCCCAGTCCTACCAGGAGCTGCTCCAGAGTGCCACTGCCAGCCCCATGGACGTGGCCGTGCAGGAAGGTGAGCCCAGCTGCAGGACTCAGAGGCCCGTTTTCTTCCAGAGGGTGTCATTTAATACCTATTTAATATCTTTAATATCTTTATTGATGGTTTAGATCAGGGGATTGAGTCCACCATCAGCAAATTTGTGGGTGACACCAAGCTGGGGGGGAGTGTGGATCAGCTGGAGGGCAGGAGGGCTCTGCAGAGAGACCTGGACAGGTTGGAGAGTTGGGCTGATTCCAAGGGGATGAGGTTCAACCAGGCCAAGGGCCGGGTCCTGCCCTTTGGCCACAACAACCCCCGGCAGCCCCACGGGCTGGGCCAGAGGGGCTGGAGAGCAGCCAGGCAGGAAGGGAGCTGGGAGTGGGGATGGACAGGGAGCTGAACAGGAGCCAGAGTGTGCCCAGGGGGACAAGGAGGCCAATGGATCCTGGCCTGGCTCAGGAACAGGGTGGCCAACAGGGCCAGGGAAGTGATTCTGCCCCTGGACTCAGCGCTGGGGAGGCCACCCCTGGAGTGCTGTGTCCAGTTCTGGGCCCTCAGCTCAGGAAGGACATGGAGGGGCTGGAGCAGGGCCAGAGGAGAGCAACGAGGCTGGGGAAGGGACTGGAGCACAAGTGCTGTGAGGAGAGGCTGAGGGAGCTGGGGGGGCTCAGCCTGGAGAAGAGGAGGCTCAGGGGAGACCTCCTCACTCTCTGCAACTCCCTGACAGGAGGGGGGAGCCAGGGGGGGGTTGGTCTCTTTTCCCAGGCAACCATCAGCAAGACAAGAGGGCTGGGTCTGCAGCTGTGCCAGGGGAGGGGTAGGTTGGAGATTAGGAAGAATTTCTTTGCAGAGAGGGTGCTCAGCCATTGGAATGGGCTGCCCAGGGAAGTGGTGGATTCTCCATCCCTGGAGGTTTTTAAGACAAGACTGGATGTGGCATCAGTGCCATGGGCTGGGAACCACGGTGGGGTTGGATCAAGGGTTGGACTTGATGATCTGGGAGGTCCCTTCCAACCCAGCTGATTCTGTGATTCCCGGGAGAACCCACCCAGCAGGGAGGATCATCTTCCCCGTGCTGCCACAAGGAGCGGGATGGTTTGGACACCCAGTGTTCCTGCTGGAGAGGGGGGGAACTGTTTCCTTGCCTACTCTGTCAGAGCCACGAGGGTGTTCCCCACCCAGCACTGCCCAGCTCGTCCCTCTTTACCTGAGCTGGGATGTGGGTGCTGCTTTGACCCTCCTCACGGTGCTGTCCAACAACTGACCCAATTTCAACTTTTTGGGGAAATATAACACATTTCCTTGCCTGTTCTTTCAGAGACAAGTCACAAGGGTGTTCCCCATCCAGCACTGCCATCCCTGTTTTCCCTGAGGGGGATGTGGGTGCTCCTTTGACCCTCCTGGTTGGCTGTGGGGCAGAAACCTCCAGCTGGTTGCTGGTAAAGAGCGACTGGCAGTGGGATTTTCACCTGGTGCCACTGCCTGAAGTGGTTTGTGTGCACAGCCCGGGGTGGGCTCAGCGTGGGGGGTCAGGAGTTATTTATTTAACACAGGCCCAGCAGCTCCTCTGGGGGCTCAGGGATTATTCCCCTCTCTAACACTGGATCTGCTTCCCCTTCCCTGGAGGAGTTGGGTGTGTCAGCACAGGTATGGGAATTGTTCCTTTTCCTTCTGAAATGGCACTGCCTGGTTTAACACAGTTATTCCTTGGCTTTATTTGTGGGGAAAAACTCCCATCTAAGTTGACTTCTCCACATCCCTTGAAGGAATAAACACTTGCTGGCACGTTAAAGTGCACAGAACCTCCTTTTACAAGGAAGTGACTTTCTGCAGTGGAAAAGCTCTGAATAAGGGCAGTCTTCCAGGGAGAGCTGGCATTCTTTTTTACTCTTTTAGTAAACCCTGGAATGGTTTGGGATGGGAAAGGACCTTAAAGCCCATCCAGTCCCACCCCCTGCCATGGGCAGGGACACCTTCCTCTAGCCCAACTTGCTCCAACCTGGCCTTGGACACTTCCAGGGATGGAGCACCACAAAATAGCAATGAAAGCATTAAGATGGAAAGTTCTGTCGCATAAACACAACCCCAGAGCCTTTTTTCTTGGCGCTGCACATTCCATCAAAGACCTGGATCAACGCCAGGGGCCGTCAGAAGAGGTTCCTCAGCACAGGGTGCATAACCGAGTGCTGTGGGGAGAGACAGCCCCCAGAGCAGAAAGACACCCCTCGTGCCCGCCGTGTGTGCCCAGATGAGGGTCAGATCTCATGGATCTCGTGGTTCTCTGCTGGTTCTCATGTCCTCTGTTGCTTGCAGGGCGCCTGACGTGGCTCGTCTACATCATCGGGGCGGTCATTGGCGGGCGGGTGTCGTTCGCCAGCACGGACGAGCAGGATGCCATGGATGGAGAGTTGGTCTGTCGGTAGGGAAGCGCCTCTGGCTGCTGGAGCCCTCCCCAAAACCACCCTGCTGACCCTGCCACCCTGTTCTTCCCCTCCTTTCACCTCCAGACCCCTTGGAATTAGCAGAGGGAAGGAGGGATCGGTGGTGCTCGTTGGCTAAACTGGGGGGATTTGGGTTGTGAGGAGCAAACTGAGAGGGGAAGAACGTGGAAAAGGGGCTTGTTGGTTGAATCACTGACTAAATGCATGATGGTTCTTTGCTGGGTTGGAGAGGGAAAAGTCTTTTTTTCGTGGTTAATAATCCCAAGTGGCTTTTGTTCATAAATGAACTGTGAATGTTGTAGTTCTGAAGTTAAAACTTCACGGTGTTCCCTAAAACGTGCTGGGATTTTTGGGATTGCAAATCCTGGCCCAGTGCAAACTTTATTTGGTGGGTGTGAGGATAAAACCTTGAGTCCCACTGAATGTTTTCTGGTCCAGATCTTAATGCTCCCCTTGGAAACCAGGATAGGAGAAGGAGCTGAAGTGTGAAGGTGTGGAAGCTGAGCTGTGGGTAAACCAACAGGTCCAAGCTCTGGCTTCCCATGAGGCTGATGAATTAAAAAGGGGAAATTATGAGACCCCCATCTATATTTCAGTTGCCTTTAGAGCCATCACGGATGATAAATGTCTGTAGAAATCTGTTAATATTTGGGTTTCTTTCCTGCTTTGTGGCACTTGCCCAAAGGGATATCCTTGGGTTTGCCCCCCAGTTGTGCTGCAGGGGTGTTCTTTACCCCCAAATCCCCCCCCCAGCTCATGGGGGGTGTTCCTGCAGGGATGGAGAAACCTCACAACAGCTTTACACCGCAGAGCAACCTGCCCTGGGCACTGGTTTTGTGAATTCCCAACCCAAAACAACAATTCCCATGGAAAGCAAAAAGCCTGGAAACAGCACCACAATCCCAGAAATCCCTCCTTGCTCCCTGTGTCCCTCAGCAAGGTGTGTTCTCCCACCTTTTCCCAGGGTGCTGCAGCTGATGAACCTGACGGATTCCCGCCTGGCACAGGCTGGGAATGAGAAGCTGGAGTTGGCCATGCTGAGCTTCTTCGAGCAGTTCCGCAAGATCTATATCGGAGATCAGGTGCAGAAGTCTTCCAAGGTAATCAGTGCCCTTGGCTGGGGCTCCTTGGGGATCCAAACTCCAGTGATCCCTGCTTTTTTCTAAAGGAAAACCAGGGGCGTTAATGATTTTCTCCTCTCTTCAGCTGGAGATTCTTGCAAGTCCCATTTGCTGTGATTTCTAGATTTGTTCCCAAGTGTTATTTTTGAGCTGTTTTGAAATACCCACGTCAGGAAGGAGCCATTGGCTTTGGCTCCTTCTCGGGAGCTGAGAACTGGAAACCATAATTCAGTTTTCCCTGAAAACCTCTGACCACCTCAAACACCCACGGAGTTTCATCTCTCTCTTGCTTCCCTGGCTCTGAAGCGGAGAGAAATCTCCCTTCTCTTCATGCCAAGGCAGCTGTAGGTGTACTGGTGCCTTGGTGCCTCTTTAGAGGTGCGATATCCTTGTTTTAAATGAAAAAAATCCACGGAGGATGGGAACATCATTGCTCCAAACTGGGTTCTCTTCCTTTCTGGTCATAACCTTCCTTCCCTACCCCGGAGACTTGGGAACTGCTGATAAGAGTTCCAGATAAATAGAGTAAGTACTGGGTGTAGTTGGAGGTGGAGGAGCATGGTTTTTATACCCCCTTTTCCTTGGAAAACCAAGTGCTCCTGCTTTTATGTGCAGTGTCTGGACCTCCAAGAAAGAGGAGACAGCGATTAGGGGCGAGATCGGATGCCGAGATCTGGGAAATCCCGGAGCAAACACCTCCTAACGTGGTTCCACCCAGGGAAAAACAACTCCTCTTGGAGGATTCCTTGTTTTCCTGGCAGTTTTTAACCGGGTGTTGTTCCCTCCCCAGCTGTACCGGCGGCTCTCCGACGTGCTGGGGCTCAACGACGAGACGATGGTGCTGAGCGTGTTCATCGGGAAAATGTAAGTGCTGCTGCCCCCCAGGCAGCCCAGAGCCCAGGCTCTGCTGCACCAGGAAAACTGCAATGTTGGTGAGGGAGTGTTGGTCAGCCTTAAAAAAAAAAAAAAACAGCAAAAAAACCTAGGACCATCTGGCTCTCCTCGAGGGAATTACAGGCTTTTCTCAGGGCTGAGGTCACGCACGGCGCCCAGGATTGGTTTGTCCACCACGCCGAGACACAAAAATAAAGCCACACGCCAGGAGAACGGATTCTCTTCCCAGTAAAAAGCAGAGGCAGGGAGGGGACAGCTCCCAGCACACGTCCCCTGTGGTCACTCCACGATTGGCAGCCACGAGAGCTCTGTGGGGAGGCACCGGCGGCTCCTCCGAAGCTTTTCTTTGCCGCTCGGTCCCGAATCCTTCCCTTAAAAAACCTCTTCCACTCCCATCAACACCCAATTCGGCCTCTTCTCCAGACCCAGCCTGGCTTTTTGTCCAGCCTTTGGAGCGTTTGGAACCAACTGAGCAGCTGACACCCAGTGCCCTGTGCCTGGTGCCGAGCAGCCCAAAGCTCCCCCCGCACTCGTTCAGCATCGCCCCCGTTTTTACCTGCACGGGGCCTTGCTCATCCCACAAAGCCTGGCTGGGCAGCATTCCCGAGGGATGGAATGGCTCTCCTGGAAGAAGCAAGGGCTACTAGAATTCTGCAGCTGACAGTGGATGGTGCAGGTGCAGAATTGCATACGTCTGCATGTAGTCACTGCCGCAGAATTCTCTTACCCTTGCTGCAGAAACCAGCCCTGGAGTGCCCCAGAATTCCAAGGGCCTGGCTATGGGCCAGTGTAGCTTGGGACCCAAGTAGTGAAGATTATCTGAAGGATAATTTTCTAGTCAACCAAATGTAAGTACAGTGATTTTATACCGATCTTTTGTGGCTTGTGCTGTCTGTGGTCTCGGTGGAGGGTGGAGCTGAGCATTTTGGGGTGACTTAAACTGCAAGAATCCGCTGCCCAGCCCAGGGGAATCCGAGCAAACCCCCTCTGACCCATCCCTGTCCTCTTCCCTCTTGCAGCATCACCAACCTGAAGTACTGGGGTCGGTGTGAGCCCATCACCTCCAAGACGCTGCAGCTGCTCAACGACCTCTCCATTGGATATCCTTTTGGGAAGAGCTGCTGGGGGCACAGGGATGAGGGAAGAGTGGCCCGGGAGCGAGTCACAGCTCCCCAAACCCCTTCACCTTTTGGGCAGTGAGAAAAGCAGGGTGTGTTTGCCCCACACCTCGTTGGATCGCAGTGGATGGCTGGGATGTAGATTTTTTAAATTTTGGATCATAATTGCTTCGGAGTTGACCACCCACAACCAGTTTACAGCCTGTCTTCTGCTTTTCCACAAGCTCCAGGCAAATTTTTTTATGGCAGAGTAAACAAAACCTATCACTGCAGGTCTCTCCATTGAGGCCTTGGTTGCTCTTGAAACAAATGGAGGAGAATCCACAACGTCCTGAATAACACAGACACAATCCCCTTCCAGCTTTGCCCTGGGAGTGCTTTTGTAAGGATTTTATAAGGATTCTCTGCTGCTTCCTTAACCCCCCTGCACGTACAGCAGCGTGAGGAAGCTGGTGAAGCTGAGCGCTGTGCAGTTCATGCTGAACAATCACACGGTGAGTCCTTCCCCCTCCTCCTCCTCCCTCTCCCCCCCTGCCTTTGTGCAGCTCAGACAATCCCCAGGAGAGACACTTTGACACACTCTGGAAGTTTTCCTGGCTCCCAGGTGCTTCCCTGGTACCAGGTGAGCCTGTGGAAGGTGTGGTTTGTGTCCCACCTCTGTTGGGTTCTGAGGGGCTGTGATTTTGTGGCCCTCGGTGTGGGAGGGCTCTGCTCTCCACTCAGGCCAGACCCATCCCTGGAGGTGTCCAAGGCCAGGTTGGACAGGGCTTGGAGCAACCTGGGATACTGGGAGGTGTCCCTGCCTGTGGTAGAGGGTGGAACAAGGTGATCCTTAAGGTCCCTCCAACCCAAACCGTTCCATGATTCTGTTCCATGTTTCTGTGATGCTCCAATGCTGGAGCAGTTGGACACCCAGCGCCCCTTCCAGAGGGTTTTCAGTGCCTGGTGGAATGAGGAGCTGCATTCCCTGAGCTTTTCAGGCATTCCCACGTCCTGCCCTCGGCCCTGAAGCTGAATTCAGTCTGGAATTGCTGTTTCCATGGAGAATGTGGGCAGAGTAGCTGGGCAATCTGCTCTCTGAGAGCTGCTTTAAGGCAGCCTGAAGGGTCCCCAGCAGTAAAGGGGGGGATTCCATCTCTGCTCCAGAGATTCCATCTCTGCTCCAGAGGCAGAGCCAGACTTCCTGGTTCACCTGGGGCTGGGGAATTCCAGGATGAGGGATGGCAGCGCTGGGATTTGCTGTTCCAGGCGGTGCCTGTTGCCCTCTGGTGGCCTGTGCTCCGGGACAGCTCCAGGTATCCCTGGATCCTGCTGCTTCCCATCAGTGCCCAGCCTGGGATCAGCTGCAGTTGGGATCCTCAGCCCCTGGCACAGGAGCCTCTTCAGGGTGGTGGTTCCCTGAATTGTTGAGGTTGGAAAAGCCCATTAAGACCGAGTTTGGTGATCAACCAGCACCACCACCACTGTCACCACTCAGCCACGTCCCCAAGTGCCACATCCACGTGTTGTTTGAACCCTTCCAGGGATGGACACTCCACCACAGCCTGTTCCGATGATTTACAACCCTTCCCAGGAAGAATTTTTTCCTGATACCCAACCCAAACCTCCCCTGGTGCCGTTGGAGGCCTCTTCCTCTTTAACCCACCTTTGTTTTCCCTCTCCAGAGTGAGCACTTTTCCTTCCTGGGCATTAACAATCAGTCCAACCTGACGGACATGAGGTGTCGGACGACGTTCTACACTGCACTGGGGCGTCTGCTCATGGTGGATTTAGGTACCTGGGGGCTTTTCCTGGGAATCAGAGCGATATCCTGGGCTTTGGAAGCTGGGCCCTGCTTGTTTAGGGAGCTGTAAGCCCCTCCAGGAAAGGAGGCTGGAGTTGGAAAACCCCCACAAAAGAAAAAGGAAGGGAAGGAAGCTCGAGGGTGGGTTTGATGCCACGTTGCCAGGCACAGGCCACCAAACCTGGGGCTGAATTTTTCCATCCTGATATCCCACATGTTTTCCTGAGATGGCTCAATTTGTTCTAAGCCACTTATCAGTCAGATTTTGGCAGTGACAGATCACCTGGCTGGAGACCTCTGGTCCCTCTGCCTCCGGGGGAGTGTCTGGCACAGGACACAGGGATGTGCCATTTATTTTCTCCTAAATTCCTGGGGTTTTTTCCCCCTCTCAGGGGAAGATGAGGATCAATACGAGCAGTTCATGCTTCCCCTCACTGCTGCCTTTGAGACCGTGGCCCAGATGTTCAGCGCAAACACCTTCAACGAACAAGAGGCAAAAGTAAGTCGGGACATTCCCTGTTATCCCTGTAATCCATGTTCTCCCTGCTGTTTTCCTTAGGGACCTGGATGTTTTCGGAGGGGCAGGAGAGAGCAGTCATTTGTGCAGAGTGGGAGCTGCTCTCCCCTCTGGAATGGTGGGAGCCTCCCTTCCAGGGGGAAGGGGAAGGGGGAATGGCCTGTATCCTTCAGGATCAGGCGTGGTTTGGGGTTGGAGCAGGGAGACTCACCTGCCAGCATTCCCTCTGCTGGGAATGAAATATCCCAGTGGTGTCCCAGCTCCTGGCACTGGAGAAGGACTGTCCAGGCTGGGATTGGGCTCCAGCACGGGCAGGAATTGCTGTTGGGATGGGAGGGAGGGAAGTGGAGCCAGGCAGGGATTGCTCCATGCCTGTATTTTATTTTAACACCTTTTCTTTCTCCACACAGAGAACTTTGGTGGGTTTGGTGAGAGATTTGAGGGGAATTGCCTTTGCCTTCAACGCCAAGACCAGCTTCATGATGCTGTTTGAGTGGATGTATCCTTCTGTTCCCCTAAAACTGCAGCCCCCCCCTGACTGCATCCAAATGTCCCATTTTCCCTGTGAAATCCTGCCCGGGGTTTCTCTTCTCTTTTATGGCACTTGGTGTCCTTTCTCTGAGCCCTGAAATCATAGAATCATAGAATAGAATCATAGAATCGATTGGGTTGGAAAAGACCTCCGAGATCATCGAGTCCAACCCTTGGTCCAAACCCAGTCCATTTACTAGATCATGGCACTCAGTGCCACGTCCAGTCTGCGTTTAAAAATCTCCAGGGATGGTGAATCCACCACCTCTCTGGGCAGCCCATTCCAATGCCTGATTACTCTCTCTGTAAAGAATTTTCTCCTGAAATAGGTTGGACTTGGCCCATCTGCAACCAAGTGACCCTCCAGGGCTGCTCTGAGCTCGGCTGCCGGGGTTTGCTGAAGGGCTCTGACCTATAAAACACAAAGGCTTCCCTGCCCTGCAGCCCAGCAGCACCGGAGGCATTTCCTGCTGTCCCTGGAGCAGCGGGATCCGTGGCCTTTGGGGGAGGAATCCACGGCGCCTGGGGAAGGTCAGGGTGTCTGCACTGACACATCTCCGGGGGGGGCTTCCCCTTCCTTCCAGAACCTTCTTTGGGTCTGCTTTTGCCTTAGAAAAAATCGTGTGTGCAGTTAATTTTTATGATCGTGATCGTTATTTTTACATGAAAAAAATAACTTAATATTAAATCGCGTGATTTAATGTGTCAAATAAATATAAACAATAAATATGTGATTTTATCAACAGCAGAAAGAACACATAACTACATAAATTATATTTTTAATAAAATATCACATGATAATAATAAATATATATATAAATATAAACAATAAATATGTGATTTTATCAACAGCAGAAAGAACACATAACTACATAAATTATATTTTTTAAAATATAATATCAGCTGATAATAATAATAAAAATATATATGTTTATATATAAATATAAACAAATATATAATTTTATTGACAGCAGAAATAACACATAACTATATAAATTATATTTTTAATAATATAATATATGATGATTATAATAATAAATATATGTGGTTATATATAAATATAAACAATAAATATGTGATTTTATCAACAGCAGAAAGAACACATAACTACATAAATTATATTTTTAATAAAATATCACATGATGATGATAATAATAAATATATATAAATACAAACAATAAATATGTGGTTTTATCAACAGCAGAAATAACATATAACTACATAAATTATATTTTTAATAAAATATCACATGATGATAATAATAATAAATATATAAATATAAACAATAAATATGTGATTTTATCGACAGCAGAAATAACATATAACTACATAAATTATATTTTTAAAAATATAATAATATCTCATGATGATGATAATAAAAATATATATGTTTATATATAAATATAAACTATAAATATGTAATTTTATCAACAGCAGAAATAACACATAACTACATAAATTATATTTTTAAAATATAATATCAGATGATGATAATAATAATAAAAATATATATGTTTATATATAAATATAAACAATAAATATATAATTTTATTGACAGCAGAAATAACACATAACTATATAAATTATATTTTTAATAATATAATATATGATGATAATAAATATATGTGGTTATATATAAATATAAACAATAAATATGTCATTTTATCAACAGTAGAAATAACACATAACTACATAAATTATATTTTTAATAATATAGCAATATCACATGATGATGATAATAATAAAAATATATATGTTTATGTATAAATATAAAAAATAAATATGTAATTTTATCGACAGTAGGAATAACACATAACTATATAAATTGTAGTTTTAATCATCATCATCAGATGATGATGATAGTAATAATAATAATAATAATAATAAATATAAATAATAATAATAAAAATAATAAAAATAATAAAAATAATAAAAATAATAAAAATAAAAATAATAAAAATAAAGCAGACCCAGCAAGCAGCATCTCTGTTTAACCCTGTTAATTAAGCTGCTCTGCAGGGCTTGTGTGCAGCACACAAAATGTGCCTTCTGATGGAAACTTTGCCCTCTGGAAAGCCCAGAAGTCCTTAGCTCTTTCCTGGCAGATACCCCTCCTACATGCCCATCCTGCAGAGAGCCATCCAGCTCTGGTACCACGACCCAGCCTGCACCACCCCTATCCTCAAACTCATGGCTGAGCTGGTCCACAACAGGTAGGAGCCTGGAAAGGGGCCGGGATTTCCTGGAATGCTTTGGCTCGGAAGGGCTTGGGAGGCTCAGCCCCCTCCCTCTGTGTGTGTTTGTTGCTCCGGGTGGGAGTCGCTGCCCTGTTGTGTTTTCTCTCCTTCGATCTATTTATGCTCCAAAAGCTGCCGGGGGGGGACAGAAGGGAGGGGGGGGAAACTGGGATTGTTCCAGCAGGGAAGCAAATCCCCCAGCTCAGATCCCGCGGCTCCATCAGGCCGAGACACGATCAATAACCGCTGGATATTTGCATTCCCGAGGGCAGCTCGGGGAGGTGGGGGCAGGAAATTTGGTCCCTTTTTAAAAACCCGGCTTTCAGATGGACCTTGTTCCCCCTGGCAGCCACTTTGCTCTGGAGCCTCAGCCCTTCTCTGCCAGCAGAGAGGGACCTGTGACGCTGCTGGGATAATTCAGGAGCTGTCTAAGCTGGCACGGGAAGGTTGCCAGGATGATGCTCTGGCTCCCAGCCGGCTGAGCACAACCCTGTGGGAAGGGGCAGAGCTGTTCCAGGGACACAGGGTTCGGGCACAGGCCTTGGGGAGCTCTTGGGAATGCGTCCTGCCAGGCTGCATCTTTGCAGCCGGGGCACAATCCCTGCTGGAAACCATCCAGGCATTTATTCCAGAGGTGAACTGGGCAGCTGGTTGTGATTCAGTTGTCAGGCTGAGTCACTGCAGGGGCACAAGTGCCAAGCTGGGACTCGCTGGTGCTGCCCTGAATAGGGGCCAGTCAGGCCGGGCTGCAGGGCCTTCCAAGAGGTTGTGTTTGGGAGCAGTATCCCAGTGACTGATTGATTTCCAGCCTCAATCCCATAATATTCCTGACATCTGAGAAATACAGGCCCTTTCTTCTGCCACAGCAGAGCTCCTCTGGCCCCGAGTGCCTGTGTCCTGTGTGGTGTTGGGATTTCCTACCAGGGCAGGGTGGGAACTCGGGGAGCATCCGGGAGCCCCAGAACCAGCAGCTCCTGCACTGGTGGCTCTGGTTTTGCTCCCAGCTGTGTTCGAGCTGCACTTTCCAGTCCCAGAGTGGTTTGGGTTGGAAGGGACCATAAAGCTCATCCTGTTCCACCCCCTGCCACGGGCAGGGACACCTCCCACTAGCCCAGGTTCCTCCAACCTGGCCTTGGACACTTCCAGGGATCCAGGGGCAGCCACAGCTTCTCTGGGAATTCCACTCCAGCCCCTCACAGGGAGGAATTCCTTCCCGAGAACCATTCCCTGTGTCCTGCCCCTCCATCCCTTGTCCCCAGTCCCTCTCCAGCTCTCCTGGAGCCCCTTTAGGCTCTTGAAGGGGCTCTCAGGTCTCCCTGGATCCTTCTCTCCTCCAGGTGAACCCCCCCAGCTCTCCCAGCCTGGCTCCAGCCCTGGGATGAATCCAGTGTGTCTCTAACCATTCCCTGTGTTTCCCTCAGGTCCCAAAGGCTGCAGTTTGACGTGTCCTCTCCCAATGGAATCCTGCTCTTCCGAGAGACCAGTAAAATGATCACGACCTACGGTGAGTGGCCCTGGTGGGATCCAGCAGCCTTGGGCTGCCCTGGCTTGGGAAGGCAGGGCTGGGACACTGCCAGCTCCAGGAGCCAGGCTGGGGAGCAGTGCCAGGTGGATGCTTGGATACAGGGAGATGGTGCTGCTGGAAGCGTGGGGTGGCCAGGCAAGGAGAGGGAAACAAGGAAACAGGAGCCAGGCTGGGCCCCTGCGAGGGTGACACCATGGAGAACATTCCTGTCCCCACAGCAAAACACACTGAGTTCTCCTGAAAAATCACAGAATGGTTTGGGCTGGAAGGGACCTTAAAATCATGGAGTTCCACCCCCTGCCATGGGCAGGCACACCTTCCACTAGCCCAGGTTGCTCCGAACCCCATCCAACCTGGCCTTGGATGCTCCCAGGGATGGGGCAGCCACAGCTTCTCTGGGAATTCCATCCCAGCCCCTCCCAGGGAAGAATTCCTTCCCAATATCCCCTCTAAATTCCCCCTCTGTCAGCTTAAGGCCATTCCCTTTGTCCTGTCACTCCATGGCTTTGTGAAAATCCCAGAGGAGCCACACTTTTCACTGGTACCAGTCTCCCTAACCCTCACCTGGGGGACAAATCCTCGGTGGCCTCAGCCCCTCCTTAACGGCTCCACTTGGGTTTTCCTGCCCCCCCTGGAGTGGGGAGGCTTTGGATGCAGTGCTGGAACGCTGACCCCGCTTCTGTGCCGTGCAGGGAATCGCATCCTGACGCTGGGGGAGGTCCCCAAGGATCAGGTCTACGCCCTGAAGCTCAAGGGCATCTCCATCTGCTTCTCCATGCTGAAGGCAGCGCTGAGCGGCAGCTACGTCAACTTCGGGGTGTTCCGGCTCTACGGGGACGACGCCCTGGACAATGCCCTGCAAACCTTCATCAAACTGCTGCTCTCCATCCCCCACAGCGACCTCCTGGTGAGCATCACACTGGGAACACCCCAGGGAGGCAGGGCCGGGAGGTTGGGTGGGAAAGGGATCGCGGAGAGAAGGGGACTCGCGCCCCTGGAAGGGGCCGGCGGGGAATGGCAGCTCCTGGAATGTGCAGCAGCGGGTCCTGTGTGAGGGGTGTTACCTCCCCACCCAGATAATTCCCCAAGTTTGGGTTGGAAGGGACCTTAGAAATCATCCCATGGGCAGGGACACCTCTCACTAGCCCAGGTTGCTCCAAGCTGGCCTTGGACACTTCCAGGGATCCGGGGGCAGCCACAACTTCTCTGGGAATTCCATCCCAGCCCCTCACCACCCTCCCAGGGAAAAATTCCTTCCCAGTATCCCAGATGTTGAATTTTTGGGTGACTTGGCTCCTGGAGAGGTCCAAGTTTCCTGTGGGAAAACAGCAACCAGTGGGAAAGAGGATTTAATAGACCAGAGTTGGGAACCTGCTGGATGTGGAATGGTTTTGTTGAGGGAGAAGGAAGGGGGGAAAAATCTGTTTGCCCATAAATATGCTGGAAGAGGAGTTAGTTTGTTCTTTCCAGGTGATTAATAAAGGGTTGGGTCTAGAAAGCCTCAACTGATGGTTCCAGGGTAACCATGAAGACTTAAAACTCTTCCTCTCCTCCTTTCCCTGCAGGATTATCCCAAGCTCAGCCAGTCCTACTATTCCTTGCTGGAAGTTCTTACCCAGGACCACATGAACTTTATAGCCAGTCTGGAGCCTCATGTAATCATGTATATTCTCTCTTCCATTTCAGAAGGTCTCACTGCACTAGGTAATTCCTCCTGCTCTCTGTTGTGTTTTCAGGGATTTGGTTTGGAAGTGGAGAGAGAGATTTGGGAGAGTTTCGGGATAACAGATGGAATGTCCCTTGTGAGAAGGGGTGGAGGAGTTTCCCCTCTGTTAAAGGTGGAATGTTAGAGAGAGGGAGGGAGAGGTTGGACCAGGTGACCCCACCACTGGTCCCTTCCATCCCTGTGAATATCATGGAATCATGGAATGCTTTGGGTTGGAAAGGACCTTAAAGCCCATCCAGTGCCACCCCCTGCCATGGGCAGGGACACCTTCCACCAGCCCAGGTTGCTCCAGCCAGGCCTTGGACACTTCCAGGGATCCAGGGGCAGCCACAGGGAAGAATTCCTTCCCACTCTCCCCTCTATCCCTGCCCTCTGGCAGTGGGAAGCCATTCCCCTTGTCCTGCCCCTCCAGGCTCTTGCCCAAAGTCCATCTCCACCTTTCTTCCAGCTCTTTCCAAGCACTGGAAGGCCACAATTAGGCCTCCCTGGATCCTTCCCTTCTCCAGTCTGTAGATTCCCAATTCTTTAGCCTCACCCCAGGGAGGAGGTTTCTGACCTGGTCAGGGTTGGGGCAGTTTCTGCTCCTCAGACCCCAAAAGGCCCCCGAGAAGCGTCGCTGTTCCCCCGGGGAGCCTTTCCAGGAGCATCCCAACATTCCCGTCTCCCTGTTCCTGCAGACACCATGGTTTGCACGGGCTGCTGCTCCTGCCTGGACCACATTGTCACTTATCTCTTCAAGCAACTGTCCCGCAGCACCAAGAAGAGAACGACCCCCCTGACCCAGGAGAGCAACCGCTTCCTGCACATCATGCAGCAGCACCCCGAGATGATCCAGCAGGTAATTCCCGAGCCCTGGAACCTCACCAGCTCCCTGAAGAACCCTGAATATTCCCAGCATGATGTCACACCCTGCTCTGCAGCCCCCAGGGTTTTCTGGAATAAACAGGGTTGTTTTTTTTTGCTGTGTGTCCCACACAGTCCTCGTGGGGTAGGTGTGATGCCGTGGGATTCCAAGCCCTGCTCCAGGGATGTGGTTGTCCCCTGTGCAAGGAACACCATTTTGGCCTTTCAGATTGGCCAAAAAAACCCAAGCTTTTGGCTTTAAGAGAAACACAGCTCTGGTGTTCTCCAGCCTCACTCACTGGGACTTGTCAAAGTGTCAGCACAACTCCCACGTGGAAACAGGGAATATTGGGATATTGTTCCACCCTTGCTGGTGGATCAGGTGCCAAGCAAAGCAGGCTTTTTTGGGGGCTAGAGACTGTATTTTCTGAGACTAAAAAAGAGAAACTGCATCTTCCAGCCCAGCTAGGCTGGATCCTGGCCTGAGCCTAAGGAGGCTGTGGAGGGAAAGGCAGGGAAGGGTGAGAGAAAATTCCTCAGGGCATTCAGACATTCCCTTGTTTAGGGAAGATGAGACAATACTGCCTGGCTGCCTTGGGGCAGGATGGGATGTGTGGGGAATCCAGCAGTTCATGGAGGCTCCAGCTCCTCCCACGATGGGATGGGTTAATGTTGGACTCATGGAATGGTTTGGGTTGGAAGGGACCTTAGAGCTCATCCCATTCCACCCCCTGCCATGGGCAGGGACACCTCCCACTGTCCTAGGTTGCTCCAACCTGGCCTTGGACACTCCAGGGGCAGCCACAGCTTCTCTGGGAATTCCATCCCAGCCCCTCCCTGCCCTCCCAGGGAGGAATTCCTTCCCAATATCCCATCTAACCCGACTCTCTCTCAGTTTTAAGCCATTCCCTGTTGTCCTGTCACTCTGTGCTCTTGCAAATAGCCTCGAAGGTGTTTCCCACCCCAAATTCCAGGATTCCCTGGCACTCAGGGCTCTGCACCCCTGAGCCCCCAGCCCTGGGGGTGCCTTGCTGCTCCTGGGCCATGCTGGGGAGGGAGATGGGATGGGCAGGGCTGCTCTCAAACCCCATTTCCCTCTTCCAGATGCTCTCGACAGTGCTGAACATCATCATCTTCGAGGACTGCAGGAACCAGTGGTCCATGTCCAGGCCCCTGCTCGGCCTCATCCTGCTCAACGAGAAGGTAACGGAGCCAGGAGGGATGGCAGGGCTTGGCTGGGGCTGAGGGAGCAGCAGATGGTTGGGAAGCCTTGGAGAGAGCACGTGCCAAGGGAAGGGTGTCCAGCCCTCCCTGCACACCCTCGGAGCTGAGCAATCCAATTCCCTTCCCCTCAGAGCCCCCCGAAGAGCTGTCACACCTTCCCTCCCTCCTCCCAGGAGCCCCCTGTGCGTGTCCTGCCCCGAAGCCGAGGTCCCCTGGGAACTAACCCATCCTTTTCCTGTCTTCCCAGTATTTCTCTGACCTGAGGAACAGCATAGTGAACAGCCAGCCCCCGGAGAAGCAGCAGGCCATGCACCTCTGCTTCGAGAACCTCATGGAGGGCATCGAACGCAACCTGCTGACCAAGAACAGGGACAGGTCAGTGTGGGGCTGGGGCTGGGGCCTCCTGCACAGCACAGCACTGGAGCAGCTTTTCCATGACATTCCTTCGTGGAAAGGGTTGTCCAGGGCAGTGGTGGAGTCGCCATCCCTGCAGGGATTTCCCACATGTGGAGATCTGGGCTTGGCATTCCTGGGTTGAGGGTCGGGCTCGACGACCTCAGAGGGCTTTTCCAGCCTCAGTTCCACGATTCCATTTTAGGGAATCAGGGCAGAGTTTTTTGGGTTTTTGTTTTGTTTTTTTTTCCCCAAGGCTGACCAGGCAGTGTTTAAATTAATTGGCAGTGCTTAATGATCCTTTTCTCAGCTGGGTTCCAATAACCTGCACTGCTCAGGGTTATTACAGAGGGCAAACATGGCACCAGCAACCCAAAAATGCAGAGTGGCTTCAGCCTGCAAGGCAGGGAGAGGGGCAGGTTTCCAAGTGCCCAGCTCTGCCTTCAGACACTTCATCTCTCACTGCTTGGTTTGGGGCTTTGGGCTGCAGGCCACGTGTTTTTAATGAGTCCTTTGGAGGTTCAGTTTTCATCACGTTCATCGGGGCAGTTTCCTTGTCACGAGCTCGGGGATGGAAATGGGTTGTTCTGAAATAACTCTGCAGGTACAGGGTGAGGAATTGGGCTGCCCTGGAAGTGCTTTAGCACCCAAAGGAGGGCACTAAGATGGGGAAGGGCCTTGAGAGGGGCTGTGTGAGGAGCCTGAGGGCACTTGGTGTGTTCAGCTGGAGCAGAGGAGGCTGAGGGGAGACCCCAGTGCAGTTCCACCTTCCTGGGCAGGGGCAGAGGAGGGGCAGGGACTGAGCTCTGCTCTGGGGGGACCAGGGACAGCAGCCAGGGAATGGCTGGAGCTGTGCCAGGGCAGGCTCAGGTTGGATCCCAGGAAAAGGTTCTTCCCCCAGAGGGTGGTTGGGCACTGCCCAGGCTCCCCAGGGCAGTGGGCACAGCCCCAAGGCTGCCAGAGCTCCAGGAGGGTTTGGATGCTTCCCTGGGGCACAGGGTGGGACTTCTAGGGATGGTCCTGTGCAGGGCTCAGGGTTGGACTGGATACTCCTTTGTGAATCCCTTCCAACTCAGCATATTCCATGATTTGAGAGCTCAGGGATTGTTTGGGTGATCCTCTGGGGCACAGGGTGGGACTTTTAGGGCTGGGCCTGTGCAGGGCTGAGGGTTGGACTCACTGCTCCCCGAGGGTCCCTCCCAGCTCAGCATATTCCATGATTTGAGAGCTCAGGGAGCACTTGGATGATCCTCTCAGGGCCAGGGTGGGATTTTGGGGTGTCCTGGGCAGGAGTTGCACTCACTGCTCCCCGAGGGTCCCTCCCAGCTCAGCATATTCCATGATTTGAGAGCTCAGGGAGCATTTGGATGATCCTCTCAGGGCCAGGGTGGGATTTTGGGGTGTCCTGGGCAGGGGGTCCCTCCCAGCTCAGCCCTGCCGTGATCCCTGTGCCCGAGGGGGTCCCTGAGTGCCCTGCCTGCCCCCCCAGGTTCACCCAGAACCTGTCAGCGTTCCGGAGGGAGGTGAACGACTCCATGAAGAACTCGACCTACGGCGTGAACAGCAACGACATGATGAGCTGACACCTCCCACCTCCAGCTGTACAGAGCAGCATCTCCTTGGCCTGGCCCAGAGGGGTTTCTGATGGAAAGAAAAGAGGCCCTTCCTAATCCCTGCCCTTCCCCAGGGCTGGATTGTGGATCCCACGTCCCCGAGGGAGGAGGGAGCAGGAGGTTGAGAGCTCTACCTGGGCAGGTGCTTCTGTTTTCCGTGGGGTTAAAAAATAAAAAAAAAAAAAAGGGGGTGGAAGGGCATAATCCAGGTGCAAGAATCCGATGTCTCTCCCTACCCCTGGATGTGGAAACGCCAGCGCTCTGCTGCAGCCTGCCTTGTATAAAACATGTACATTTTTTCATAACATTTTGAACAAGGTTTATATTGACTCGAGTTTAAAAAAAAAAAAAAAAAAAAAAAAAAAAAAAACAAAAAAAAAAAAAGAGGAAAAAAATAAAAAAAAAACACACACACACACACACAAAAAAAACCTACACAAAATGACAACAAAAAAAAAAACAAACAAAAATACAGTGTGATTGAAATTTTTACAGAGTCCTGGTGCACCGGTGCTGGCGTGAGGGTTGTGTATGAGAGTGAGGAAAGCGTGGCCTGAAGCTTTACTGGGCGAGGGGGTGGCTGTGTGTGAAAGTGCAGAGAAATCTATTTAGTGACAGTAGAGAGAGAAGCAGGAAAAAAAAATTAAAAAATTTAAAAAAAAAAAATACAAAAAAAAAAAGGATTAAAAACAAAAAAACAAACCACGGCGACGAAACCCGACAAAAATTTAAAAAAAAAAATTAAAAAAAAAAAAAAAAAAAAAAAAAAAAAAAAAAAAAAAAAAAAAAAAAAGAGGCATTGTAAAATTCCAAAATGTATATTTTTTCTTATTAAGCCCCCCCTTGAAATCACAATTTCCCCCCGGTCTCTCGCCCTTGTTATTGGGAACTCGAAGCCATGGCGTGACCCTCCGTTCGTGCTTGCTCGTGGGTGTCTCTCCTGTCCCCTCCCAGAGCCCTCCCCTCCTCCCCCAGTTCTGTTTTATTCCCCCTTTCCCCCCTTCCCGCCCCCCCAGCGTGAGCAGGAGCTCAGGGCAGCACAGGGAGGCTTCTGAATAACAAGGTTTTGCCCAGCATGAAGTGTTGAACCCCCCTGGGGAACGAGCCCAGTTCTTTTCCGAGTCACCACCATAAATGTTCGGGATATAAATCGATAGAAAAATTGACTTAACAGAGGAAAGCTGATGGGGGAGGGAACCTGTTTGCCTTGTATTTTCCCACTATTGTTGCTGCTAGTCGTGTGCATCCTCTTGCTCAGCTCTACCCACAGACACTCGGTCCTTAGGGCTTCAGTTTTATTTCCCAGACACCACCTACTCTTTAATTTTATTTTCCTTCTTCTCCCCCTTCTTTTTTTTTTTTTGTTTGTTTGTTTGGGTTTTTTGTTGATTTTTGTTGTTTGGTGTTTTTTTTTTTTTTTTTTTTAAGATTTTGTTTGTTTTCTTTCCTCTGGCGATTGTGTGTTGGGTCCCTTTTTCGCGTGAGCAGATGCTGGTTGACTTGTCAGGGTGTTTGCTGCAAACAGTGTAAGCATTGTGACTGCAAATAAAACTTCAATGGTTTCTACTGACCACGTCTCTGGCACCCTCAGTCCCCCCCACCCCTGCACCCCAAAAACCTCCCCTGCAACCCCAAGATCTCTCCTTGCACCTTGTTTTTGCCCAAAATCTCCCCTGGAGTCCCAGGAGCTCTCCTTGCACCCTGTTTTCACACAAAACCCCAAAATGTCCAAAAGAGCCCCAAGATCTTCCCCAGAACCTCAAGATCTCCCCCTGCACCACAAGTTTCCCCCCTGCACCCCAAAAACCTCCCCTGCAGCCCCAGGATCTCCCCCTGCACCCTGGTTTTACCCCAAACCCCCAAATCTCCCCCGCAGCCCCAAGATCTCTCCTTGCACCCTGGTTTTACCCAAAATCTCCCCTAGAGCCCCAAGATCTTCCCCTGCACCCTGAAATCTTCCCCTTGCACCCTGATTTTCCCCCCCTGCACCCCAAAATCTCCCCTGGAGCCCTGACATCTCCCCCTGCCCCCTGAGATCTTCACCTGCATTCTGAGCTCCACCCCAAAACCCCAAGATCTCCCCCAGCACCTTGAGTTTTTCCCCCAAAATCTCCCTCGGCCCCCCAAAATGTCTCACTATACCCTCAGCTTTCCCCCAGAACCTCAAGAGTTCTCCCTTTGCACCCCAAGGTCTTCCTCTGCACCCCAAAATCTCTCCCTGCACCCTGAGCTCTCAGAACCCCCAAAATCTCCCACTGCACCTTCAGCTCTACCCCAAAACCCCAAGATCTCTCCCCGCACCCCAAGACCTTCCCAGAACCCCAAAATCTCCCCTTGCCCCCTCAAGTCTTTCCCCCAGAACCCCAAGATCCCCCCCCAGCACCCCCAGCCCTCCCCTGCCTGCTGCAGGGTGACTCTTCCCACCAAAACATGTCCCAAAATCCCCCAAATCAGATGGAATTCGGGGGGAGGGGGTGGATGGTACTTTGCCTTCCAGCCAAAACCCACCTGGATTTGGCCACAATTCCTCTCATTTTACCCCATTTTGGGCAACAAGCTGTGCCCAGGTGGGGGTGCAGGGGAAGGGGGGCACCCCCAGCCCCACTGTGGGGGGGTCCTGGCACTGACACCAGCACAGGGATGAGTTTTTAAAAACATTTATTTACAGCCCGGGCGGGAGGAGCGGCCGAGGCAGGTCCAGCCCTGCTGCCCCTCCCAACCCAGAGCGGGGCTGGGGGGGCTCCTGCCCCCCTCACCCGGGGACAGGGGGCTTCCTGCCCCCCTCACCTTGGCACCGGGTGAGTTTGCCCCTGCCCTCACCCCGATTTTGGCTCCTCAGCCTTCCCCCTGTAAACGGCGTCGTTCCAGCCTTCCCTGTTCCGGGCGATCTCGATGGCGAAAAACTGGATTCTGGTGGCTGGAAAACAGGGGAGGGAGAAACCCTCCAGCACAGCTCAGCTTTCCCACAGCCCCCCCTGCCCCGTTTCCTGGGGGTCCCCATCCCGTTTCCCACCGAAGATGGTGTTTTCCTCGGTGTATTCCCGGCGGGAATCCAGGCGGAGCAGAGTCCCGTAGTTGAAATCCTCCACCACCCCCTCGAACCTCAGGCAGAACGGGCGCCACTTCTGGGGTGGGGAAAGGGGTTGGAAAAACACCCTCAGCACCCCTGGGAGATGGGGAGGGGGGAAATCCATGTGGAGGGGGGGGATCAGGTCCCACCCACCGCCTTGGCCGGCTCCGATTTCAGCTCCTCGGGGTCCAACACGTCGATTTTGAGGTCCCGGAAGGTTTTCCTGAACTCCTCGTAGATCTGGTCGTCCACCTTGGTGAGGTTCAGGAATTTGGGGTCCACGGAGGAGATGAGCTGTGCAGGGGGGGGAGGGGGGGCAAAGGGATTTGAGCCACGAGCCCTCCCAGGAGCCCCCCCCAGCCCTGTGTGAGCCCCCCCAGACTCACGTTGAAGTAGACCTGGGCGTGCTGGTGGGCTTTCATGGCCCAGGCCAGCTCCACACGGGGCTGCCGAGGGAAAAGAGGGCTCAGGAAGGGCTGTGCCCCCCCCCGGGGGGGCCAAACCTCCCCTTGGAGGGTCCCTCCTCCCCTCTGGGGGACCCTCTCCCCCTGCTGGGGGTTGCTCTCCTCCCACTCAGGGGGTTTTGCTCCTCTTGGAGGGTCTCTCTGCTCCCCTCGGGGAGGTGTGGAGGAGAAGTTGGGACCCTCCCCTCCCTTCCCAGGGCTGGGACCCTCCTGGAATGGGATCCCCCAGGACTGGGACAGCCCAAGGCTTGTACCCTCCGTGGGGTGGGATCCCCCCTCCCCTCCCAGGACTGGGATATCCCCCACCCCAGTGATGGGACCACCCCCAAGGCTGGGACCCCCCTCCACCCCCAGGACAGGGATTTCCAAAGCTGGGACCCCCCCACCCCCAGCACTAGGACCCTCCTGGACTGGGAACCCCTCAGCACTGAGACCCCCCCAGTGCTGTAACCCCAAAACCCCCCCTCCACCCCCAAGACTGTGACACCTCCTTGCCCCCCCCTCGCACAGGGACCCCCAAAGTTGGAACCCCCCAATGCTGGGACCCCCCCCCCAATGCTGGAACCCTCCCAGGACAGGGAACCCCCAATGCTGGGACCCCCCCCCAATGCTGGAACCCTCCCAGGACAGGGAACCCCCAATGCTGGGACCCCCTTCCCAGCACTAAGACCCCCCAGGACTGAGACCCGCAGTGCTGTAACCCCCCCCTAATTCTGCAACCCCAAAGCTGCGACATCCCCCCCCAACGCTGGGGCTCCCCTCCACCCCCCAGGGCTGTGACCACTCCCCCCAGGACAGGGACCCCCAAAGTTGGAACCCCCCAATGCTGGGATCCCCCTCCCAGTGCTGGAACCCTCCCAGGACAGGGACCCCCAAATGCTGGAACCCCCCAATCCTGGAACTCCAAATCTGCAAACCCCCCCTCCACTCCCGGGGCTGTGCCGCACGCAGGACTGTTCCCCCCCCCGGGACAGGGACCCCCCCCGGGACAGGGACCCCCCCCGGGACAGGGACCCCCAAACTCACGTCGTTCCCAAACGCCTCCGCCGGCAGCGACAGCGCCTGAGCGGCCGCCGCGGCCTCGCCGGGGCCCTGCGGGGACACGGGGCTGAGCCACGGGGGGGACACGGACCCCCCCACGGCCAGCCGGACCCCAGCAGTGCCCCCCGTGGCCCCAGCAGTGCCCCCCAGTCTCACCAGTCCCGCCAGTCCCGCCGCCGCCATCGCAGCGATGCCGGAAGAGGCAGCGCCGCCCCGCCCATGGGGGGACACGGGGGGGACACGAGGGACGGGGGGGACACCGGGGATGGGGGGGGCAAGGGGGGACACGAGGGACAGAGGGGACACGAGGGACGGGGGGACAATGGGGGGACACGAGGGATAGAGGGGACACGAGGGACGGGGGGGACAAGGGGGGGGACGGGGGGGACAAGGGGGGACAAGAGGGACGGGGGGGACACCGGGGATGGGGGGGACAAGAGGGATAGAGGGGACACGAGGGACGGGGGGACACCAGGGGGGACAGGGGGGGACAAGAGGGATAGAGGGGACACGAGGGACGGGGGGGACACCAGGGGGGACAAGAGGGATGGAGGGACACGAGGGACCGGGGGGACACCAGGGATAGGGGGGGACAAGGGGGGGACAAGAGGGATAGAGGGGACACGAGGGACGGGGGGGACACCAGGGGTAGGGGGGACAGCAGGGGGGACAAGAGGGATGGGGGGACACGAGGGACAAGGGGGGAACAAGGGGGGACGGAGGGTCATGGGGAGACGGGGAAGGACAAGAAGGACGAGGGGGACGTGGGGAGACACGGGGGGGACACGAGGGATGGGGAGGACAGGAGGGATAGGGGGGACACGAGGGACAGGGCGGGTCACCAGGTGGGACATGGGGGGACAAGAGGGACGGAGAGGACACGACGGGGGGGACACGATGAGTGGGAGGACACGAAGGGACATGGGGGGACACGAGGGGGGGACGCGATGGGTGGGGGGACACGACGGGACACGCGGGATGGGGCCCCGTGTCAGGGCCAGCAGGACACGGTGACCGGTGACACATCGCCGGGGGGGCTCAGCGGGACCCCCACCTGTGGGGGGAGGAGGGGGTCCCGTGCTCATTAACACACGGGGGGGGGGGGGGGGTTAACCCCACGCGGCTGCTGATTAACGGGGGATCGGGTGGGTGGGTGACAGGGTGGGCAGGGGTCCCTCTGCCCCTATAAGTGCCCGGTGGGTGGGTGGGGGGGGTCTTGGTGTCTGTGGGGGCTTCACGTGGGCTGAGAATTCATTTGTGTATTTTTGGGGGGGGTGAGTGTCACCGTGCAGTTTTGGGGAGGGGCTGCCGGGGGAGCAGAGGGGGCTGGGGAGGGGTCTTGCAGGCTGGGGGTCACCACGGTGCTCTGTGTGTGTGTGTCCCCCCCCAGACTGAGACACCCCAGAGCCATGTCCCTCACAGAGAGCAGCGACAGCACCTCCGAGAAACCCGTGTCCCTCATTTGGGGTAAGCACCGGGACCCCCCGAGGGGTTTGGGGCTGCCTTGGGGTGCCCCCCTCTCGCCCCGTGCCCCCACCCCACGGCTGTGCCCCCCCTCTGTGCCCGCAGGGTGTGAGCTGAGCAAGCAGAAGGACTCCTACACCTTCCAGATGCCCGAGGGCTGGCACTGTGAGCAGCAGCTGGCCCTGCGCACGGTGGGTGACCCCCAAAAACACCCGGGGGGTGCCTGGGGGTCGTGGGAGGACTGTGAGGGGTCACAGGGGGGGTTGTTCTCCTTGCTGCCTGCAGGGGATGGCCCGGGGTGAATCCCATGTGGTGGAGGTTGTGATGGGGGCTGCTTGTGCCCACGTGCTCCTTGGCCACCCCAAATCCTGGGTCGTCCTGGGGGGGTCACTGAGGGGTTGTTCTTCTCTCTGCCCGGGGGGGGAGATGACCTGGGATGGATTCCCTGTGGTGGAGACTGTGCCAGGCGAGGAGGGGGCTGCTTTCACCCTGGTGCCCCTCAAATTTTTGGGGGTCCTGGTTGAGGGGTACCTGCACGCCATGAGAATCCGGGGGGAGGCATTTTCTTCTCCCCCTGCTCCAGATCTGCCTGGGGGAGTCGGCCCGGGATGAATTCCACGTGGTGGAGGTGGTGGCAGAGGAGGGGGACACCCGGCCCCCGGTGCCCCTCGCCACGCTGAAGCCGTCAGTGCTGCCCATGGTGAGTGCCCTGGGGAGGGGGCTGCTGCTGGCCCCAGGGAGGGGGCTGCTGGCCCGGGGGGCTGCCAGGGGAGCTGCCACCCCCCTGTTTTGCAGGCCACGCTGGCGGGAGTGGAGCTGACCCCCCCTGTCACCTTCCGCCTGAGAGCCGGCTCGGGGCCCGTCTACATCAGCGGGCAGTACATCTCCAGTGAGTGTGGGGGTCCCCCCTGCCCTGGGACCCCCCTCCCCGGGTGTGGGGGCTCAGCCAGGCTCTCCCGCAGTGATGACCTCAGATGAGGAGGAGGAAGAAGAGGAGGAGGAAGAAGAGGAGTCCCCTGAGAAGCCCCCCAAGGGCCAAACCGCCCGGAAAGGCGGCGCTGCCAAGGTCAGCACCCCCTCGGGTGGGGGTGAGGGGTGCAGAGGGGTCCCTGTGCCATGGGGAAGGGAGGGCAGGGACCCCAAGCCCCTCTCTGTTGAGGGGATGAGCCGTGACCTTCATCCCTCGGGGAGGAAGAATCCCAGGCTCTGCAGCGAGTCCTCATCCTGCTTCTCCCTCTCTCTCTCCCCCACAGAAGAGAAAGCTGGAGAAGGAGGATGAGCCGTGAGTATGATGGAGGGGGAAAAGCCTGGAGCAGGGGCTGCCCACCCTGCTGGGACCCCGATCCCAGCCCTCCCCTTCTCTCCCAAGCAGGAACAACACCGTCCCTGAGGATCCCCTTCCCGGCAAGGTAGGGGCTGCTTGGGGTGTCCCTTTGCATCCCCCCCTCACCCCGGGGGTCAACACGAGGACCTGGGGAAGGGGATGTGTGATGGGAACCCAAAAAGGGGGGGATGAGGCAGAGCTGGGGGCTCCCTGGGCCGGGGGTGGTCCCTGCTCAGCCCTGTCCCGATCCCTGCAGGGCCGTGGAGCCGGGAGGGGCAGGAAAGCAGCGCCGAAGAAATGATGGGATGTGTGGCAGGTACGGAAAGGGGTGTGGGGGATGATGTCCAGGTTTGAGGGGGCCTGTGGGTGCCCCCAGCTCATGGCTGAGTGGGGCTGGGGAGGGTCCATCCCCCAACGCGGGGTCATCCCAGGATACCTGGGCCTCAAATCCTTCCTCCTTCCCTTTTCCAGGTGCGGGAGAGCCCGAGAGAGGAGCTCTGGTGCTGGTGTCGTTCCCAAATAAAGGATATTTTGCACTCCTGGCTCCCCGTGCTGGGAATGGGGGGAACTGTGGGAGAATCCTCCATCCTGGTTAGGGCTGCTGGGGGACCCGGGGGGGTCCGGGGGCAGCCCCCGCTGCCCGAGGGGTAACAAGTGGTGCCTGTGAATAGGAGACAAAGGGGGATTAGGGAGCAGCGGGGAGACGATTAGAACCCATTGACCTGCCCTTGGTCTGCAGGCAGCGGGGGTCTGGGCAGGGTCCCGAGCCCCTCAGCGGCTCCCGGGGGGGCTGCCGTGTCCCGGCTTGGCTCCGGGGGGGGTCCTGAGCCCCCCACCAAGGCGGCTTTAGGCTGCTCCATGTGTGGGGCAGGAGGGGAGGGGGCGTTGGGGGGGTTTAATCCTGCTCTGCACCCACCGGGGCTGCTGGGCCGAGGCTGAGGAGCTGCTGGATGGGGAGGGGGGGGATGGAAAGGGGGTGTCTGTCCTCGAGGGCCACCCGCGGGAGGCTGTGACAGGCAGCCCTGTCCCTCCAGCCTTTCCTCGCCCCGCAGGGGCTGTTTGCACAGCGGGCCCCCCCCGGGGTTGTGCTGACAGCTCCCGGGACCCTCTGCCCCAGCCCGGGGGGGGCCACACCGCGAGTGATGACGGCTCCACGCCCATCAATCATCGCCCGCGGCTGGGGGGGCCGAGGCACAGCCCCCTTCCCTCCCCCCGGGGGTGCTGAGCCCCCAGGATTGGGGTGGAAGGGGATTTTGGAGCTGGGGGGTTGCTGTGTTTGTGCTCTCGGGTTCCTGCCCCTGGAGGTGTGAAGGCAGGGGGGAGGGGGGATCTAATTTGGGTCGTTCACACTAAATCAGCGCCCCCCCCCACCCCCCAGATGGGGGTGTGGGTACCCTGATGCTCCCCATCCTGCCTGTCCCGGGGGCTCTGGTACCCCCCGGCACCGAGGGGGAGGCTGAGGCACGAGCAGGAAGGCAAGTAAGTGGTTTTGGAACTAAACCCCTCCCTCCCTGTGCTGCCCCTCAGGGGTGTTGGAGCCCCCCCAGGGGTTACCCCAGCTCCCTGCCGGGGCATTTATAGGGCACTTAACACCTCCCGGGGCCAGCAAACGGCTGGTGGAGGGGTCCACAGCCTCCCCCTGCTCGGGGGGAGGTGAGACCTGCTGGGTCGGGGTGGGGAGGGGGGTCCTCAGAGCCCCCCAGCACTAAAGCAGTTGGTGGGTGATGCACAGGCTGGGACCGTGCCTGACAGCCTGGTGACAGGAGGGTGACAAAAAGCGTCTGTCCCACAGGCCTGGTACCCTCTCCACGCCCCACAGCATCATCTCCGTGAGGTGGGGTGTGATGGGGACCCCCAAGCAGCCGAGCCCCCCCTCCTCCCACTCCCCCATCCCAACCCTCCTTCCCTGCGCGGAGCCTCTGCCTCCCGGGAGAGGTCCGGCCCCTCTTGGCGGGGCTCTCCCCCCACCTTTAAAGGCTGCCCCTTCCCCCGGGTCCCACCTCCGGGCCGGGCTCCATGGGTTGGGGGGCTGCGGGCGCTGCCCCGGGCGGCGGCACCGGCCCCAGGACCGGAGGCTGATGGGGTGGGGGCGCCGGGGGCGGGATGGACCTGGATGCCCCCGAGGTGTAGGACGTGCAGCCCCCAGGGCCGGAGGAGGAGGAGGAGAAGCCCCTGCCCCGGCTGCCTCCCCCATGCTCCGGCGCTGCCCCGGAGCCCTTGGCATCGCGCGTGGGATCTCCTGGACCCTCGGACACCCCCAGAGGGGGGATCGCCCCGGCGAGGAGGGCGCGGGAGGGTCCTCGGCTTCCCCTGCCGCGGCGGGGAGCGGGGCTGGCACCGCGGCGAGCCCTCCGTGGCACCGCCGGTGGCCCCCGGTGGCCGGGGGGCTTCGAGCAGCGCCATGCAGCCCCTCACCCTGCAGAACCTCTCCATGTAAGAGCCCCTCTCGCTGCCACCACCCGTTTATTCTTTATTCTCATCCCCGCTCCTCGGGAGGAGAAAACAACCAACTCCCCACGAAACTCCCTGGGTTTTACCCCCCTCTTTTTTTTTTTCCTTTTCCCGCAGATGTTTCCAGCTCCTCATGTTCTCCTGTCAGACGCAGGTAGGTGGATGTGCTTTGCTGACCCCGGGGTGGGTGAAGGTGCCCTCTCTGTGACACCCCCCCCCCGCCCCGACCTGACCCTTTGCTTTGGGGGGTGCCCGTTGCCCTGGGGGGGGGGCTTTGCCGGGGGCTGGTGTGTGCCCACCCTGAGTGGCAGCGAGTCCCGGGCAGGGAGGGATGCAGGGTTGGAGCTCCAGGGATGGAACCCTGGGCAGGGAGGGATTCAGGACTGGAGCTCCAGGGCTGGAGGGATGCAAGGCTGGAGCCCCGGGCAGGGAGGGATGCAGGGATGAAGTTCCAGGAATGGAAGGATGCAGGGCTGGAGCTCCAGGGATGGAAGGATTCAGGGCTGGAGCTCCAGGGATGGAAGGATTCAGGGCTGGAGCTCCAGGGATGGAAGGATTCAGGGCTGGAGCCCCAGGCAGGGAGGGATGAAGGGCTGGAGCTCCAGGGCTGGAAGGATGCAGGGGCAGAGCCTCACGGATGGAGCCCTGGGCAGGGAGGGATGCAGGGATGAAGTTCCAGGGCTGGAGTCCTGGGCAGGGAGGGATGCAGGGCTGGAGCTCCAGGGCTGGAGCCCCGGGCAGGGAGGGATGCAGGGCTGGAGCTCCAGGGACAGATGGGGGGGTTGTGTCCGTGCCAGAGCTGCGCTTGTGCCCCTCAGCACCGACCTCGAAGGGCTGCAACTGGGGGTTCAGCAGTGGGGATCACACCCCCCCCGGACCCCTCCGGCCCCCCCGGAGGGTGTGGATAAGGCTGCAGGGATGCCATCCCGCGCAGGTGACACGTTCCTCGCAGCCCTGCTCGGGCAGGGGGATGTGCCGGGTCCCTCAGCCGGGAGCTGCTGCCGAGGGGGTTAACGGGGTCTGGACCCCCACCAGCGGGAGGGGGGTGTGAGGTTTGACACCCCCTCCCCTTTTCCCCCCCCCCCCCCCACCCTCTGGGGCTGCACCGTCGCTTTTTGTGGCTTTAGAAAGGCAGCGCCTTTTAAAATCCACTGTTCCATATCAGCACCCTCTGCTCCAGCGCCCGAACAAAACCCCCGCGGCTGCGGCCCCGCGGCATTAAAACATCCCCGGGACCTTTTTTCTTTCTTTTACACTCCCCCCCCCCCCCTTTTTTTTTCCCCTTCCCAAGGTAAACGCTTTTATTTCTTTGAAAATGAGAGGGGAAGGGAAGCGCCTTTGATGGAGAGGGGCCGCTCCCCCCTCCCATCCCATCCCACCTCCCCCGACAGCCCCAAAGGCTTTAAAGCAGATTCCCGGCAGGAAATGAGTCCCCGGGCGCACACAAAGGTGGGCAGGGAGTTTGGGGGGGGCACCATCCCACTGCTCCGTGCAGGGCTGGATCCCCCCCTGCCTTCCCAGGGAGAGGATGCCACAGCCTGGGAATGTGGGTGGCAGGTCCCGTGCCCCCCCCCAGACGATGCTGTGCACCCCAAGCTGGGCCGGTGGGACCCCAGATGTCCCCCCTCCGATGCATCCCCTGCCCACAGACCCTTCCAAGCTGGTTTTGGGGCCGGGGTCCTTCAGGTGCTGCCCTGAGCCCCTCTTACACCGGGACTACAGTGAGTTTTCCTTTAGGATGTGTGTTGAGAGGGTCTGGTTGGAGTCCAGAGCGGGAGGGGGGAGCTGCCCACCACCCCAAATCCCCCTCCCCACCTCACCTGCCCTAATTAGCTGCTGTTTTCCCTCTGACCACCCTCGTGTGCTGCTCCTGCCTGGTCAGGAGCTGTCTCGGAGTCCAGGATGTTTATTCCAAGCTCAGGATGGACCGGGAGGGGACAGCTCTGCTCCTGGGACACCCAGCCTGGCTCTGGGGGGTCTCACCCACCGTGAGGGACTCGGTGGGGGTTTCCCCAGCTCAGCTCCTGCATCCCAGGCTTTCCCTGGGGCCTGCTGAGCATCCCTGGGGTGGCTGTGCCGGGAGGAGAACATCCTTCCCTGCATCCCCCTCCTGCCTGGGATAATAAACAGGATCTCTGCCCACCCCATTCCCGATCCAAAGCAAACCTTGCTTGCTGCTCCAAGGGAACCAGGGGGCTGGGAGCTCCCTTTGCCCGTTCCCAGGCTCTCCCCCCTGCTCCCCTTGCCGTCCCAAAGCGAATTGATTCCGTTTTTCCCTTTGTAAACAAAGGGGGAGAACCAACCGTCTCCTAATTTTAACCAGTACGTGAGGGACCAGGGGGCCATGACGGACCAGCTGAGCCGGCGGCAGATCCGGGAATACCAACTCTACAGCCGGACCAGCGGGAAGCACGTCCAGGTCCACGGGAAGAGGATCACGGCCACCGCCGAGGACGGCAACAAATTCGGTGAGAGGGGGTCACCCTGCTCATGGAAACCCCTGGAAAATGTCTCTTCCCAAAGTGTTTTGGAGGGGGGATGGTGTGGGGGGAGTTGTTCCAGCCTGGCTGGTTTTATACCCAAAAATTCCCTCCCCGGATAACTCCAGTCAGAGCTCGGCTCCGAAGAGCCCTGACCTCAAAACTTCCCAAACCATGGATTTCTCCGGCTCCGTGCAGGATTTATAAGCCCCATATTCAGGGCTTGTGCTTTCTAATCCCTTCCTGGCACGAGACAAACAACTTTTCCTGGGGGAGAACTGCCCGATCCCGGCATCCACCTCTGAAATATCCATAGGTGGTGGGCAGATCCCATCCTGGCCACACCACCTTTCCCATGGGATTCTCCAGCCCGGGCATCCCAGCTCCACAAACCCCCCGGGCTGGAATCCCTCAGAACTTCAGGAAAGGCTTTTCCAAGCCTGCTGAGCAGCGAGGCTGAATCACCACCTTTCCCAGGGCTTTCCCTGGATTCTCCCAGCCGGACCCACCAGGTGTGAGGGTTTTGGTGTCGCTGCCAACCCTCTGGAGCCGGGACCGTTGTGGAGGAACGATGAGGATGGGGATAATTAACCTGCTGGGTTAATTATAATTAACCTGCTGGACTTGGTCTGGCCCTGGAGAGCCCATGGAATCCCGACAACGTGGATGCACTGGAGGGGGAGGGAGGGGCTGGTGCCTCCAGCAACCCCCAGTTTGCCTCTGCTGGGTTTTAACAAAGCCCCCTTGGGCATCCTGGATCGGGAGATTCCCTGGCAAGGGCTGCCCTGCCCTGGCTGATGGGGGCAGGAAGAAGGGGATGGGGGGGGATTTTGGTGCTGGAGGGGGTGTCCCAGCCCCCATGGGACACATCCTCTGCTCCCAGCCAAGCTCATCGTGGAGACGGACACGTTCGGGAGCCGCGTGCGCATCAAGGGGGCCGAGAGCGAGAAGTACATCTGCATGAGCAGGAGGGGAAAGCTCGTCGGGAAAGTGAGTCCTGGACACCCCACACGCCCCCTCTGTGTCCCCACGGCCCCCCCAACGTGTCCCCACAGTCCCTGGAGCTCAGCCTGGGGAGCCCACTGAGATCCCTGGCTGGGCTGGTCCCCCTGTCCCCGCTCACACGGGTGACGTGGATGCACTGGGGGGGCTCTGCCTGACCCCCCCTTTTCCTCCATCAGCCCTGGGTGCTGCAAGGAGAAGCCCCCGGGAAGCTGGTCCTGATGCTTCGGGGTTGAATCCCTGGGGAACGGGGTGGGAGGTGACAGAGGTGGGCTTTGGGGTGATAAAAATGGGCTTTGGGGTGATAAAAATGGGCTTTGGGGTGTCAGGGGGGTGATTAAAGCAGGCTGGAGTGCGGCGGGGTGGTGACAAAGAGGGTCTGGGGGGTGGCAGGGGTGGTGACAAAGAGGGTCTGGGGGGTGTTAGGGATGGGCTGGGGGTGACAGGTGAACTGGGAGGGTTTTTAGGATGGTGAGAAAGATGGTCTGGGGGTGAGAGACATGGTCTGGGAGGTGCCAGAGATGGTCGGCGGGGGGTGACAAAGACAAACTTGGGAGGTTTCAGGAGTGAGCTGGATGCTGACAAAGACAGGCTGGGGGGGTGCCAGGGATGGTCTGGGGAGCCCCAACACCTCTCGAGTCCCACCCCCAAGCGCCCCTCCCCATCCCTGCGGACCCTCAGAGCCCTCTCTCCTCCTCCTCTTCCTCCTCCTCCCCCCCGCCGCAGCCCAACGGGAAGAGCAAGGACTGCATCTTCACCGAGATCGTGCTGGAGAACAACTACACGGCGTTCCAGAACGCGCGCTACGAGGGCTGGTACATGGCCTTCACCCGCCGGGGCCGCCCCCGCCGCGCCTCCCGCAGCCGCCAGAACCAGCGAGAGGCCCATTTCATCAAGCGCCTGTACCGGGGGCAGCTGCCCTTCCCCAACGCCGAGCGCCAGAAGCAGTTCGAGTTCGTGGGCTCGTCCTCGCCCACCCGCCGCTCCCGCCGCACCCGCGCCCCCCGCCCGTAACCCCCGGACCCGCCCCTGCCCCGCCGCTCCCGGCCCCGGGGGCTTCCCCGCTTCTCTGGGAACGCGGGGGTTTCAGACGCCCCCTCGGGCGGGGAGGGCTCGGTTTGGTGTCGGAATCCCCGGGAGCATCCCGTGGGATCCCACCCAGCGCCTTCTCCCGCTCCCCTCGGAGGTGGTCGCCGGGCTCCTGCATCCCCGGAGAGTCCCGTGGT